TAGTTTTGATTTGCATCTCTTTTATAGCCAGGGAAATTGAACACTTCTTCATGTATTTGCTGGCTGTTTGTACCTCTTCCTTTGAGAATTCCCTGTTTAATTCATGTGCCCATTTCCACATTGGGATGTTGATTATTTGGGGGTTGAGTTTTTTTGAGTTCCCTGTATATTCTGAATATTAGTCCCTTATCAGATGAATAGCTGGCAAAGATATTTTCTCCCATTCTGTGGTCTGTCTTGTGACTATTTCTTTTGCTGTACAGAAGCTGTTTAGTTTCATGTAGTCCTATTTGTTCATCCTCTCTCTTAGATGCTGAGTGTTTTGAATTCTGTTTAGGAAGTCATTCCCTGTGCCTATGTGTTCGAGTATATTTCCTACTACTTCCTGTAGTTGTTTCAAAGTTTCAGGCCTTATATTAAGGTCTTTGACTGACTTTGAGTTGATTTTTAGTACAGAATGAGAGACAGGGATCTAGTTTCAGTCTTCTACATGTGGATATCCAGTTTTTCCAGCAATGTTTGTTGAAGAAGCTGTCTTTTCTCCATCATGTGTTTTGGGCTCCTTTGTTGAAGATCAGTTGGCTGTAGCTGTGTAGGTTTGTCTGGATCTTCTATTTTGATCCATTGGTCTTCATGTCTGTTTTTTTTTTTTTTTTTTTTGGTCAATACCATGCTGTTTTTATTGTTATGGCTCTGTAGTATAGTTTGAAGTCAGGTATTGTGCTACCTTCAACACTGGAATTTTTGCTCAGAATTGTTTTATGTCTCCATATGTATTTCAGAATTGATTTTTCTATTTCTATGCAGAATGTCATTGGAATTTTGATAGGTATTGTGTTGAACATGTAGATTACTTTTGGTCATATGGCCCTTTTCACAATGTTAATTTTACCAATCCACGAGCATGGAGGATCTTTCTATCTTTTGATGTCTTCTTTGATCTCTCTCTTCAGTGGCTAATAGTTTTCATTGTAAAGGTCTTTGGTTTCCATCATTAATTTATTCCAAAGTACTTTATTATTTTTGAGGCTGTTGTAAATGAGATTGTTTCCCTGATTTCTTTCTCAGTCTGTATATAGGAAGGCTACAGATTTCTGTATGATAATTTTGTGTCCTGCTACTTTGCCAAAAGTTTATGATTTCTAATAGGTTTTAGTGTCTTTTAGGTATAGAATCATGTCATCTGAAAATAGGGATAGTTGACTTCTTTTCCTATTTGAATCTCTTATATTGCTTGCTCTTGCCTTACTGCTGTGGCCAGAAATTCTAAAACTATATTGAATAGGTGTGGAGAAAGTGGGCATCCCTGTCTCATTCCTGACTTTAGCAAGAATGGTTTCGGTTGTTGTACATTTAGTGTAATGTTGGCTATAGGTTTGTCATATATAGTCTTTATTATGTTAAGGAACATTCCTTCTGTTCCTAATTTCTTCAGCGCTTTTATCATGAAAGGTGTTGAATTTTGTCAAAGGCTTTTTCTGCATCTATTGAGAGGATGATGTGGTTTTGTCCTGCTTCTGTTTATATGCAGTATTACATTTATAGATTTATGTATGTTGAACCATCCTTGCATCCCTGGAATGAAACCATCTTGGTCATGGTGTGTGATCTTTTTGATGTCTTCTTGAATTCTATTGCCAGTATTTTGTTGAAAATCTTTGCGTTTATATTCATTAAAGATATTGGTCTATAATTCTCTCTCTCTCTTTCTCTCTCTCTTTCTTTGTTACATCTGTGTTGGGTCTTGGAATGAGTGTAATGTTGGCTTCATAGAATGAGTTTGGTAGTCTTTCTTTTCTTTCTATTTCCTGGAAAAGTTTGAGGAGTATTGGTATTAGTTCTTCTTTAAAGGTTTGGTAAAAATTGGCTGTGAATCTGTCAGGTCCTAGGCTGTTCTTTGTAGGGGGGCTCTTTATAACTGCTTCAATCTCGTTGCTTATTATAGATCTATTTAGGTGGTTAATAGCTTCTTGGTTCAGTTTTGGTTGGCTATATGCATCTAGAAATTTACTCATTTCCTCTAGCTTTTCCAGTTTACTTGAATAAAAATTTTCAAAGTATTCTCTAATGATCCTCTGGATTTCATTAGTATTTGTGGTTATGTCCCCTTTTTCATTGTTGATTTTTATTAATTTGAGTCTTTTCTCCATTTTGTCATGTTGGCTAAGGGTTTGTCAATCTTGTTAATCTTTTTAAAGAACCAATTTTTTGTTTCATTGATTCTTTGTATAGTTTTTGTGTCTTGATTTCACTGATCGTGGCCCTTATGTTTATTATATCTCTCTACCTGCTGGTTTTGGGTTTGGTTTGTTCTTGTTTTTCTAGAAAATTAAGGTGCCTTAGGTTGTTTATTGAGAAGTCTCTATTGGTGGGAATGCAAATTAGTACAACCATTATGGAAAGCAGTATGGAGATTCCTCAAAAAGCTAAAGATAGAACTGCCATATAATCCAGTGGTACCACTCCTGGGCATCTACCCAAAGGAATGTAAGTCAAGATACAGTAGAGACACCTATCCACCAATGTTCATTGCAAGCTATGGAAACAAGCCAGATTTACTACAACTGATGAATGGATCGAGAAAATGTGATATACTTACACTGTGGAGTTTTAGTCAGCCATTAGGAATAATGGCAACATATGGTTTTAAGGTAAATGGATGCAATTAAAAGTAAGTCAAGCTCAGAAAGACAGTGGAGATACATTGAGAAACCCCTTTGAACATCAACTTAAATATTAGTGAAAGACAAGAATTGTTAAATAGGTACAGTGTGTGGGGGGGTACTGGTGGGAGGGGGAGGGTATATGGTCAATGGACTTCATATACTTATATGAAACAGAACAATGAAACCTCTTGCAATTGCTTATGTGGGGTGGGGAGGAGGTTGAGGGAGAGAGACAGTGAAGTGATGTAAACCAATGTACAATATAAGCCTGTTTGGAATTGTTACAATGAATTCCCTTGTACAATGAATATATCCTAATAAAAATTTATTTAAAAAATAAAGTTATTATTCTGTGTCATGTGTGGCCATTGAAGTATCTGTATGGTGGCCAGTGAATGATTAGGCTGAGTTTTCTTTGTCTTTCTTCAGTGGTCAGGGGTTTGAACGCAGGGCCTTGTGCTTGCTAGGCAGATGCTCTACTACTCCCATATGCCTTTTTGCTTTAGATATTATTCAAATAGTGTCTCACATTTATGCCCGGGCTGGCCTGGACTTTGATCCTCCCACTTTTGCCTCCTACGTAGGTGGAATGTCAGGTGCACCCCAGATTTTTTGTTGAGATCAGGTCTTGAGATCTTTTTTGCCCAGATTGGTCTCAAACTGCGATCCTTGGCATCTCTACCTCCTGAGTAGCTGGATTACAGCTTTGAGCCACCATGTCTAGCCTGGTTTTTTGCTTGTTTTATTTTTGTTTTTTAGTCCAGGCTGGCCTTGAACTCCTTTTTTTTTTCCTTTTTCTTTTATTATTCATATGTGCATACAAGGCTTGGTTCATTTCTCCCCCCTGCCCCCACCCCCTCCCTTACCACCCACTCCGCCCCCTCCCTCTCCCCCCCTGGCCTTGAACTCCTGATCCTCCTGTCTGCCTTTCAGTGCTGGGATCCCAGTAGCACTGGTGATGGTGGTCATTTGATTTTTGTCAAAGCAGAGTGTATGTTCAGTCAATTTACCCAGGCTGTGTCGCACTGCTGGCCAAGAGGCCCTTCTGCCAGCCCCTCAGATGGGATAATGGTTCCCCTCTTGCCTGCCCAGACTCACTTGGTAGTGTCCTCCCTCCTGGCCCTCAGGCCAGCCTCCCAGGTGTGTCTCCCTCCATCCTTCCTGCCAGCTGCGTGTTCTAAATAAAAGCTTTCTAGAGAGAGACATGTACAGCTCACCTGTTTAAGATATACAAGTCAGGGTTTTTAGAGTATTAGCAGGATCATATGACCACTGCTGTAATCAATTTTAGAGCATTTTAATCATCCTAGAGAGATGCTCTGGACCCATTAGTAGGCACTATGTCTTAGTTTATTTTCTTTGTAGCAACAGTACTTGAAACAGGATTTCAAGTTTATTTTGGATCATAGTTCTGGTGACTATCCAAGATAGAGTGGCCACATCTGGTAAGGCCTCATGCTGCTTCAAGTTATGGTGGAAAGTGGAATGGCAAGCAGTTGTACACCAAAGAGACAAACATGAGAGCTAGTCTTGCTTTCTAACAGCCCACTGTAACTAATCCAGTAACAGGAGAGCGAGAACTCACTTTTTACTCATGCTAGAAATGCTTTAATTCCTCTTAATGATCCAGTCGCCTCTTGAAGAACCCATTTCCTCTTAACACTGTTACATTGGGGGACCAAGTTTCTTTTTTTTCTGGTGGTACTGGGGTTTGAACTCAGGGCTTTGTTATTGCTAGGCAGGTGCTCTACCCCTTGACCTATGTCCCCAGCCCCGGGATACCAAATGGTAGCACTCCCCAGTTGTTCTCCCCCAGCCCAGTAATAAACTTTGCCTATTCTGGACAGTTCATATAATTGGAATCAGACAATATAGACTCTTTTGTATGTGGCTTCTTTTATTTAGCATAATGTTGGAAAAGTTGCTCCATGTTATAGCATGTATAGAATTTTATTCTCTTTTTATGACCGAGTAATATTCCCTTGAATCGACATACAATATTTTACTTGTCATTCATCAGTTTATGGACATTTGGGGGTGTTTCCACCTTTTAGTTATGAATAATGGTGTTAATGAACATTCATGAGCAAGTTTTGGTGTGGATATGTTTTCATTTCTCTTGAGTTCACATATAGGAACTTTTGGATCATATATTAATTCTTTTAGCATTTTGAGGAACTACCAGACTGTTTTCCATAGGGCTTCACTGTTTTACATTCCCATAACATATGAGATCCTAATTTCTCCACATACTTGCCAATCCTGTCATGTTTTGCAGCCTTCAAACTGGTCACCTACCTCTAATCATGTGTTTTTTTCGTTGTGTTTCTAAAGCAGGTGGACCCCTGGCACTGTGGTATTCCTGGCTCTTCCTGGGCCCTTTCTCAGTCTGTCCTGCTTCCACTCTGGGAGATTTGTGAGCTGGCCAGTGATGGGAAGTAACCACTTGTGGTCGTGCTGAATCTCTGAATATGGTAAGGGCTGATGCCTGTGTAAGTAACACGTTGCTTTACCCTTGGGCATGGGAGGCGCTTTCCTCTTGGATGCAGCACACTTCCTCCTAGGAGGCCACTGATACACTTGAGGGTGTGGACCACGACTGGGTGTTGCAGTGGCTTGCAGGGACTTGTCACAGTTGTTGAAAAGGAACAAAGTTAACATGTGTGTTGAAGTTGTGACATGATCTTCTACTGTGTTGAGTTACTGCTGGGGTATCTCCAGCCTTTGTTCCTTTTATGGTGCACAGTATCCAAGATGTGCTCCCCACACAGGTTGACACGGTCCCTGAGCAACTTCTATTCCTTATTTTTTGTTTTCCCTAAATGATCATTCATGGTTCATTCTCCTACAGCTTTATTTTGTTTATTTGTTTTGAGAGAGGGTCTCACTATGTAGCCTAGAGCAGAATTGTATTCATGTGAAAGCAGCACTTCTCTTCCTCTGAATCTCTGTTTCTAGATTCGAATTGCAGCCTTAAATGCCAGTTCCACAGTTGAAGATGATCATGAAGGAAGCTTTAAAAGTCACAAAACCCAGACAAAGGAGGCTCAGGTATGTAATCCAAGATCTTCTTCCTCTGCAGGTAGACCTTGCTTCTCATTTCTGTCAATGGAACCTCATTTTTAATGCATTCACACATTTCTTAATGAGATTTTAGGGGGAAGTTCCATTTTGAAAGATGGTTAGCTCTCCATTTCATGTTAAACTTGTTTCATTTAGGAGACAGTCATACCAAAGAGAAACTATGTATTCTGTGAGCATATGTGAAAGCCAGGTTAGTCACAGGGTCCACTTGTCCAGCTGAGGCCAGCTTTCCATGTAGCCTGTTCTTTGTGCAGGTCCCAGGAATTGGCATATCCAGGGAACAGTAGGATATTTATGGTGGATGTACTTCAAGGTTCCTAGTATATTGCCTTCACTTTGCAGTCTAATGAGACCCTTGATGGGATCTTGCCTAGATAAGTGGGGAAGCCAAGTCCAACTTCACCTTGTTCTTGGTCATTCCTCTCTACATGTTGCCTGGTAACTCTTTAGTTTCCCTCCATCCCTCCCTCTATCCATCTCTAGTGTATACTATATTATACTCAGGTGTAACAAGGGTTTGCTTCTATCTTTGTTTTCCCTGGAATAAACATATTCCCCCTACTCCGTTTTATGGAAGAAACCAGGACAGTTCCAGAGCTCTCAGAAGCGTACAATCATCTATCCCTGGTCTGCAAGGGATGTCAGTGGGATAGAGTGGAATGTTGGAGGAGGCTGTCAACCTGCCCAAGTAATGAGCAGTCTAGGACAGAGTGTTACACAGCAATGGAGCATTAGGAAAGGCTCAGTAGTAGAGCATGTGCTTAGTGTGCATGAGACCCTGAGTTCAGTTTCCCCCACAAAAAAGAGAGAAAGAGGGGGAGGGAGGAAAAGAAAGGAAGGGAGGGAGGGAAGGAGAGAGGGAGAGAGAGACAGACAAAGAGAAAGTAAGCAAGCAATGGAAATCATTCTCCCATTCTCAGTGAATTGTTCTTACTTCCAGCACTTTTGACGTCAACTTCTAGAACAAGGTGTGCTACAGTTTAGTCAGTTCTGACCCTAACTACCCTGAGTTAGTGTGAGATTCCACAAGTTTAATGGACCAGTCTCACTAGACTTCCTTCCTTTAAGTGCCAGTTACAAGTACTGGATACACATACTGCTATCTGACTTGGCTTTAAAGGCCAATTGTTTTAGGTTCAAATTTGCTAGTATGGTTTACAGAACTCAGGAAAGCACTTGAATTACATTTACTAGTTTATTAGAAAGGATACAACTCAGAAATAGCCAAATGGAAGAGATGCACAGGTCAAACAAGGTATGGGGAGTGGTATACAGAGCTTGCATGTCCTCCCTGGGTGCACCACTCTCCCAGCTCCTCAATGTGTTGTTCACTAATTCAGAAGCATTCCAGAATCCATCTGTTACAGGTATTTATGGAAGTTCTATTATGTAGGTGTGATGGATTAAGTCATGTGTGATTCACTCAATCTCTAGCTCTTCTTTCCCTCTGTGGAGGTGGTGGTGATGTGGGGGAACTGTGAGTTTAAATCCTCTAATCATGGTTGGTTCCTTTGGCCACCAGCCCTATCCTGAAGCTATCTAGGGACCCCAGCTACCTGTCATCTCATTAACATAATTCAGGTCTGGTTGAAAGGTGCTTATTGTAAATACCAGAAAATACTCATCTCACTCCATCACTTAGGAAGTTGCAAAGATTGAAGAAGCTCCACCTCAGGAACCATAGACAAAAACAAAATGTCTACTTCTTATAATACCGTATACACTTGCATTCTCTAAATTACTCTGGCCTGTGTAAACACTCTTCTGGTTTTACCTAGGAAGGGCTACTGGACTCATACCTTAGATTCTCACTGTAAGCCTTGGCTCTCTGAGCTATGTCCACTGTTGGCTAGATTCAGTGCTGCCTGGAATACTTGTGTTTCTTTGGGGGCTTCATAAGGGGCTCTTTTCCAGTGATGAGCTCTAGGGACTATGGAGGATGCACCTGACAGTTAACATGGCAGTGACTGTAGCCCCCACTTTAAACATAGTTTTGGTTTAAAAAAGACAAACTTTTGTACTGTTTGATAACATCTCCCATCTTGGTTTGCAGGAAGCAGAGGCTTTTGCCTTGTACCATAAGGCCCTGGATCTTCAGAAGCATGACAGGTTTGAGGAGTCTGCCAAAGCCTACCATGAGCTCCTGGAGGCACGCCTGCTACAGGAGGTGAGGCCAGGCAGTGTGCCATGGCTGGTAGCACATGGGCTCTGTAGCCAGGCTTTCTGGGCCTTACTTCTACTCTTTCATTTCTTGACTGGGCAACCCTCAGGATATTATTTCACCTCTTTGCCCTTCATGTAGAGTATCTGCCTCATTGAGTTGTTGTGAGAGTCGAGTAAATCCCTTGAAGCTGGAACAACAGTTCCTGGTGTATAATGAGTTCTCAGAAAGTGCCTGCTATTGGTATAACTTAATCTTCACAGCTGCTCTGTTCCATTTTGCAGATGTGGAAACTGAGGCTTAGTGAGGTGTTGATGTGACTCCCAGAGTGAAGCATTACAGCCAGTATTGGGGTCCATGACTTACTAATACTTAATGATCCTGTTGGCAGCACATTTTGAGTGACAGACCATGAACTCAGGGAGTCTATGTAAGAACACCACGAACCTTTTTGTGTGTGTGTGTGTGGTACTGGGGCTTGAACTTGGGGCCTACACGTTTAGCCAGTCCACCAGCCCATTTTTTGTGATGGGTTTTTCAAGATAGGGTCTCGCAAACTATTTACCTGGGCTGGGTTCAAACCGAGATCCTCCTGATCTCTGCCTCCTCAGTAGCTAGGATTATAGGCGTGAACCACTGGCTCCTGGCTTACCATAAACTTTTGAATATAGCTAGAGAAAAAGGTTAGAGACATTGGGAATGGCAGATAGAGGCAGGCAAGGCAGGAGCTGGCCTCAGAATGGGAATTGTCCTAGTGATGAGTGAGTTAGACCTTGAGTTGGCTGAGTTATGGAGATGTTTACTGTAGGTTTAGAAATTGGTCTTAAACTGAAATTGATTTCAGAAAGTGTATATTTCCTTAGAAGGAACGCTTTCATTTGCAAGTGCTGAAACACACAGATGATCTGCATTAAGGAAGCAGATTCCATGAGTGCTTTCTGGTCTGTACAGCTCTTCAATAGAGTAGAGTCCCTTATAGCCCTTGGAAGGCCTGTGTCTCAAGACCCATTCCTAGATGGTTTCTTCTACTCATGAGATAGAATGCTAACTAAGGTCTAATCGACACCAAAAAGCATCTGTCTCGTCTCTCACTCAGTGTTTCCTCAAGTTGGGTGCTGTGGTACATGCCTATAAATTCCCAGGTATTTGGGAGGCTGAAGCGAAGAATCACTTGAGTCCAGCCTGGGCCATGTGGTGACCCCATCTCAAACAAAACAAAACAGCCAAGAAATACATAGCTTGTTAGGATTTTTGGGTTGTTGGTTATATTATCTTAAAATTAGAGGCATAGGAATTATGATCTAACCATCTCCCATTAGTAGGAAGTGAGTGAGAGCCCAGAGAAGGAAAAATATTCTGTATTTACTGAGCTTTCGTTTGGGCCAGCTGCTGGGTGTGTTCCAGGAGTGGGTCTTCTCTCTCAGCCCGTGGTGGAGTGGGTCTCAGAGATGGGGAGAAGTAAGATTTTGAGTAGACATTCTAAGTACAGAGCTGATGGTAGCCGGGCCCAGTACCTGTCAGGTGCAAGGCAGGAGGCCTTTGATCTAACAGCATTGGCTATATGTTAGCCTTATAGTCATAAATGTGTACATCTCTCTCTATAGATCACTTTTAAAAAGATTGTTTTAGCACTCTTCCCCTTGCTTATAAAACATACTCATTGCAAATACCTGAAAAGTACACACAATATACAGAAAAGTTTCTTTTAACACTCATATGGTATTAGTGTACTTAAAATTATATTAAATTCTGTAATTATAGTTTCACAAGTGATTAGCATGAACAAGCCCTGGATCACAGCAAATTCCTCAGAAGTATCCAGCTTGGCAGATGGCATCCTGGAAGGGCTTGTTGGGGCGAGCCTTTCAGGAAGGATAGAGAGTGGTGCTGGATGTTAGTGGTCATTAGGTGAGGGTCAGTTAAGCGAGCCTCTACTGTTTGGAAGGTTCATGTCACTAATTACTCTCTGAAGTAGACTCACTCAGCTTCATAAATTTGTTTACACTATTTTTTAAAGAGTTCTATACCTGAAGGGGCAAAGGTACCTGGAATCCAGCCCTGGTCAGATTGTTCTTGAGGACCATTTTATAGTTTAAGCCAGATGATGGTAGAAAATGACTGAATTGGTCTTAATTTGAGCTTTTTAGTCTTATTTATTTAATTTTATTTTTAATTGAATTTTTTTTCCTCCCCCTTTGAGACAGACTCTTGCTATATAGCCCATGCTGACCTGGAACTTACTGGGTAGCCCAGGTTGGCCTCAAACTTGAGATCCTTCTGTGTCAGCCTCCTGAGAGCTGGGATTATAGATGAGAACCACAACACCTGGCATTTTTCAGTCTTGATGGAATTCTGTAAAAACTCCAGGGTAGTTTTCTTAGATTAGTCAAGTGATGCCTCCTGAGAATAGCATGTCCTTAGGTCTTGCATTCTGAACAATGTGTGGGAACCATCTTTTCTAGGAAAAAGTTGGAATATACACAAGTTCCAGAAAGAGCGTCTTTGTGCTAGTGAGTTTTTCTGTTAGACAATGTTTCCTCTTTGTTCTGAGGCTGGAGCAATGGTTTTAAAATCAGTAATTTCTTAGATTTGAGATTTTCTAAGAGTTGTCATAAAAGCTGTGGTTAAGTAACTTTGTATTAAAGATGTTTACAACCGTTATGCCCTTTCATCTCATGTTCACTCATGGTATTCATGCTAGAAATTACTGTCCTTCTATTACAGAGGTCATTGAGTTGCTAACTATATAGTTGAAGTAACTTGTGTATGGTCATATGATGAGTTACAGAATTGGGAGTTCAGTCTTCTGATTCCTAATCCAGTGGTTCCTAGGTTGAAACTCCAGGTCCTGCCTGATGAATCAGGAAGCCTCTTCACCCTTGGTGTTCTACCTTCAGTCATGATTGGGGGTCTGGCTGGGCAGGCTTACAAATGCTGGTAAATGTCACTATCCAGGCTTGAGCCCTCAAGTGCAGAGCAGTGGTGGGGAGGGTTCCCTCTGAATCTTTTAATGCCCAGATGCCTGCAAACTGCTTTATAGTGGCCTGGCCTTTCTTCTCCAGTGTGATTGGAGCTGGAGTGGTTTTCTAAGAACATCTGTTGCAGCACCTTCATCTCCCAATGGCAACTGGCACTGGACTGGCTTAAGATCCAGCATCAGTGACTGACCTGGATGTCTAGTATTCTGCTGAGTGTTTGCAGAGGCTACAGGGCCTAGGTATCATTTCTGTTCCTGTTTGTTTTATTCACAGGCAGTTTCATCCGGAGATGAGAAAGAGGGGTTGAAACACCCTGGATTGATACTGAAATATTCCACATATAAGAACCTGGCTCAGCTGGCAGCCCAGCGAGAGGATCTGGAGACAGCCATGGAGTTCTACCTGGAGGTGCGGTTTGGCAGTGCTCAGCTCTCTGTCTTCTTTTGAAAGCTCTTGGTGGAGTGGATATTGTTGTAGTCTTGTCTGCTGACAAGTTTATAGTAGTGTATCACTAAACCATTGGGTCTGAAGCCCCAGACAGTGGGTGATATCAGGCCTGGAGAGCAAGGGCATGGATAGGGTGCATGCTAGGATTCAGAGGGTTACTTATGAATTATTATTCTGCTATCGAGTATACATGTTACTATGGGTGAGTTATTTAATCTGTCAGCTCCTCCATGTCTTCACCAATGGAGTGAGAGTAATAAAAGACAGGATAGAGCTGGGCATGCATGTCTATAATCCTAACACTTGGGAGGCTGAAGTAGGAAAATCTCAAGTTCAAGGCCTGCCTGGGCTATATAGATAGATCCTGCCTCAAAAAGAAACAAAAGTGCTAGACATGGTGGCTTATACCTGTAATCCCAGCTACTCAGGAGGTAGAGATCAGAAGGATCATGGTTTGAGGCCAGCCTGGGAGCAGGGTTTGTTAGCAAGACCCCATTGCAACCAGTATGCTGGTGCACACCTGGCATCCCAGCTATGTGGGAAGCATAACTAGGAGGATCCTGGTCCACGTCAGCCTGGGCAAAAATGTGAGATTGCATTGGAAAAATAACAAAAGCAAAAAGGGCTGGAACTGTGACTTAAATGGCAGAGTGCCTGTCTAGCAAGTGTGAAGCCCTGAGTTCAAACCCCAGTACTGCCAAGCGAAAAGAACCAAAGAGAGAGAGAGAATGTAGAAACTAAAGGAGTTGTTATATTTTCAAGTATGAAGAAAAGAGTCTGAGACCAAGCAATACACTTCTAATTAGTATAGTGTTGCCATTATTTCTGTATTACCATTACTGTCTCTATGGGTACTTCTCATGTGCCAGACACTGTCTTAATTGCTTTCCATCCATGCTTCTGCCGTCTTGTAAGGACGGTGTCTTTATTCTCATTTCAGTGATGAGGAAACAGGCTAAAGGATCATTCTGCTAATTAGTATTGGAGCAGGGATGTGAACTAAGGTCTCTGCAAAGTATATAATCTTTTTTAAAACCTCAATGACTCCATTACTTTCCTTTCATTCTACTCCTTTCACTTCTTGTACCTATTAAATATGTAAAGACTATGAATATTTAAATTGATAAAACTTAATAAAATGTTCCAAGTTAAATAAATGTGGCCTATGTAACTTTTTTATTTTGCCATTTCTCTGGGTCTTGGAAATGCGTAGCTACGGAAAAGATGAGTTGACTTTGCAGTCATACCACTTTTGTCATTTCCCTGTGGAGTTAGAGTGGTCAGGCCAGTGCTATGCCTCTCCTACCATATGGATAGAAGAGGCATAGCACTTAATGAGAGATCCATCCCAGTGTGTGTACACCTTCTGCTTATGCTGCTTCCAGGCAGTGATGCTGGACTCCACAGATGTCAACCTCTGGTATAAAATTGGACATGTGGCCCTGAGGCTCATCCGGCTTCCCCTGGCTCGCCATGCTTTTGAAGAAGGGCTGCGGTGCAATCCTGACCATTGGCCATGCTTGGACAACCTCATCACTGTCCTGTATACCCTCAGTGATTACACAAGTAAGTTAGCTTTCATGCTTTCTGTATATGCCTATGTTTCTTTGGGGACAGAGGAGGACATTGCCGTGGGTAAACTAATAGCCAAAATTAACCTTAATGGACTGCTTGTCAAACTGTCAAAGTGAATGAAAATGTTTTTATATCCTTGCTTTATTCTGCTTATCTTTCTTCAGTTATCAGATACTTTGTAGTAGTAAGCAGCATGTTCTCTGAGTAGGCTATCTTAATTTCATTCCTGCGTTGTTCCATCTATGTTTTTGTTTCTTTTTAAAACAGGGTTACAATAACTAGCCCAGGGTGACCATGAACTCACACTTCTTCTGCCTCAGCTTCCTGAATGCTGGGATTACAGGCATTGTGCCACCATGTATATTCCATTTTTTGTGTCTTAGTCAGTTTGGGCCCTTATGACAGATAGAATAAGTGTCTTAGTAACTTATTTCTCACAATTCTGGAAACTGAGAAGTCTAAGATCAAGGAGTCAGCAGATTTGCTGTCTGGTCTTGGCTGTCTTCTTGGTCTATAGAGGGCCACCTTCTTGCTATATTCTCACATGGTGAAGAGAGAGAAAGAGCTCTAGTCTTACAAACATACCAGTTCCATCATGGGGCCTCTACGTTAATGATTTCGTCAAACCTAATTACCTCTTAAGGGCCCCACTTGCAAACACTATTCCTTTGGGGATTAAGGCTACAACATATGAATTTTGGAGAGGCATAAACATTCAGTTCATAGTGTTCTACCCAGGACCCCCCAAAATTCGTGTCTTTCTCACATGCAAAATATACTCATTCTATCCCAGCATCCCCAAAAGTCTTTGGCAGGGGACATTGTCTTACTGTGTAGGCCATGCTGGCTTCAAAGCTCAGATCTTGCCTTATTCTCCCAAATGGCTGCGATTATGGGTGTGAGCCTTAACTAGTCTCAGCGTCAACTCTAATGTCTCATCTAAATCATATGTACATGAGACTAGAGGAACAATTCACGGATTATAGCCATGTGTCACCATGCTTGACTAATAACTAATATGCTTATCTTCCTTCCCTCTCCTTCCCTCCCCTCTCCTCCTCTGCTAATCTCCCCTTACCTTTCTTTATCTTTGTCTTGCATTATAGCCCAGTCTGGCCTTGAACTCATCCTCCTTCCGTAGCCTTCTGAGTGCTGGGATTACAGATGTGCACCACCACACCCAGTCCGTTTCCATACTTCTATTAACGTTCCATTCATGATTATTTACTTATTCTCTAGTAAGACAGAAGCTTTCTGCACAGCTATTCTGTTTTCTTTCTGAGCCCTCACCAAAATCACCTTTAACAATTCCTTCATGACATACACCTCAAAACTCTTCAATATTCTACCCTTTACCTAGTTCTAAAGCTCCTGCACATTTTTACGTATTTGTTACAATAGCTCCCCACTTCTCATTATCAATTTCTGTCTAAGTTCAAGCTACTATAACAAAATATGATAGATTGGGTAGCTTAAACAGTATGAACACTTATTTCTCATTGTTCTGGACACTGGGAAATCTTTCACAGAATGGAGTATGTTGAGAAGCCTGAGACCTTGCTCATCCTTCCTACCTCCAGTTCTTGTTCTCCACAACCACTTCTTACATCTTCTTAATTAAAGCAAAATATACACACAATAAAGTATATAGATATTAGGTCTATTAATTTGTAAATATGAATTGTCAAGATATAGAATATTTGATGCACCCAGAGGGTAGGCTACTTAGGTCCACTCATTTCCCTTAAGGCATCTTGATCCCTTTTGGTACCAGAGATCAGCTTTGCCTGTCAAACTTCCTTGAGATGGAGCCGGAAGGCATGTACTTCTGAGGCTGGTTCTCTCAACTTGCCATCCTATCTAAGTACACCCATGTAGGGCACAGCAGCTGCTAGGGTTTTGTATTGATATGTAGTCTATTATGTGCATCTACACAATTTAGCCATTCTGTATATGAGCATTTAAGGTTTTTTCCCAGATTTTGGCTTTTATGCATAATATTCCTATGAATATTCCCATATACATCTTTTGGTAGACATACACACTTACTCTGTAGGTTGTCCCAGTGTTCATTCCCTTCAACAAAATATGGGGCAACATTTTTTGACTCTAGCAGTTTCTTCTTCCAGAGGTTTTTAGTTTCTTCTTGGAGTTTGTCCCACCATTTGGATACTATCAACCTTCCTTCTCCAGCCAGCTGGTTTAGTCCTTTGCATCCCTTTCTCATGGTAAGAGAAGTTATGCTTGGTAAACATAAGTCCTTATAGGACTTTTTCTGTTTCCCTAGAGAAACAGAACCAATTGGATGTGTGTGTATATGTATATATGGACGTGTGTGTGTAGATAGATAGATAGATAGATGTGTGTGTATGAGAGAGAGAGCAAGAGATTTATTACAAGGAATTGGCTCATGCAGTTATGGAGGCTGACAAGTCCCAAGATCTGTAGGAGGAGTTGGTGAGCTGGAAACTCAGAGAATAATGGTATAGTTCAGTCCAAGTCTGAAGAGAATTGATGGTTCTCTTCAGTTCTAGTCTGTAAGCTGGCAGACCCAGAAAGAGCTGATGTCATGGTTCTAGCGGGAAGGCAAGAAAAAGCTAATGTTGTAGTTCAGAGGCACTCAAGCTGGGAAAATTCTCTTAACTTTGGGGAGAGTTAGCCTTTTTGTTCTATTCAGGCCTTGAGTTGATTGGATGACACACACCCACATGAGGGAAGACAACCTACATTAATTTATCTATTGATTTAATTTTTAATTTCCTCTAAAAGTACCCTCCCAGAAGCCCAAAATAATGTTTGACCAACATTTGGACACTTTGTAGTCTACTCAAATTGACACATAAAGTTAATGATCACGGTGACTAAACTGATAATGTTTATCTGTGACAGCCCCTAGAGAGCCCTGATAGATTTTACACCCATTTAAAACAAAGGATAAAAGCAGTGTGTGAAATTGATGCTCAGTGAAATGAGTAGGCTGGGCTACTGTTGGGTTAAGGCCTGCTGACCTCCTTTTGTTCCCTCCAAGTTTCTTAAGCCTTTCCTCTGTGGGATGCTAGGCATAGTACAAGTAAGGAGCTTAGTTTATTGTAACCAATATGCCTGCGAGAGCTAGCAGCATCCAGATTGTCAGTGCTTTCCTAGTTTTCTCTTTGGAAGTTTATGGAGGCCACCCTTCATGTCTTGCTATGGTGCAGAGGAACCCTATTTTTTGTTTACCTGACTCAGGCACCTTTGCACCATCTGTTAAAGCAGCCCAGTTGGCAACTCAGGTCTTTCCCTACCCAGATGTTGGACATCCTTTTTGTGCCTTAAGATGTATGGCCCGTGCTGAGCTTTGTGAGCAGGTTCTTCTGTCTCCTGAAATGGCTCACTAGGAGTGTATCACTTCCTCTTATTGCCCAAGGCCTCCTTTTCAGATCTCTACTTTGGATCTGGCTTTTCTTCCTGTTTTGTTTGTAACCCCCAGTTCCTTCTTCTGTTATTTTTTGGGGTGGTGGGGACTGTACTGGGATTTGAACTCAGGGTCTTGTGCTTGCTAGGTAGGTGCTGTACCACTTGAGCCATGCCTCCAGCCCTTTCTGTTCTGGTTGTTTTTTGAGGTAGAGTCTTGCTTTTTGTCCAGACCAGACTGAACCATGAGTCTTCTATTTTATGCTACCTGTTACAGCTGGGATGACAGGTGCATGCCACCATGCCCAGCTTTTTGTTGAGGTGGGGTCTCAAGAACTTTTTTGCCCAGACTGGCCTTGAACCATGATCTTCCTATTCTCAGTTTCCCAAGAAGCTAGGATTACAGGTATGAGCCACAAGTGCCCAGCTGTTATTTTTGATAGGTGTGACTTGCAGTCTACCCACATTCAAATTGAGCTGGTATAGCATAGCACCATGGTATGTCCAGGCAGAGTAGAGTTGGTGCTCCTCTGCACCATGCTGTTTTCCTGTGTGTTCACTGGAGAGATCTTGCAACACAGAGTTGCCTGGTATGTGTAGTGCTCTTGTTTGCCACATACTGTCCTCATAAGTACTAAAGGCTTTCATAGCTCACATCACAGGCTGGAGGCATGACTCAGGTGGTAGGACACTTAAGTTCAAATCCCAGTACTATCCCCTCCCCCAATGCAAGTAATTCACACCCTAGCTGTGCTTCCTGAGACCAGCCTGTCTATATTTCTCCATGTATTAGTTTACCTCTTACTATCTCTACTCCTGGAAGAGCCAGAGTTGGCACAAGTTTTCCAGGTCAATGATTTGAGAAGGTTCTGTATTACATTAACATGAATGATGTACATGTCTTAAGATTGTAGGCAATAGCTTTAGGAACAGTTTTTAAAAAAAAAATGGCAAATATAGGTAAGCAAAAATAAAACAAAACCAGTTTTATGTATCACAAATGGAATCATACTAACCTGCTTGGTCTTCTCCCTCTACCCAGTGTTGTATTGTGGCCTTCTCCCTGGTCAGTAAGCACAGTCTTTGGCCATCTGTGCAGTGGATGCTTGGACAGAGTCTGGCTGATCCAACCAGAGTGTGGATTGTAGCCAAGCTTCACTTAACCAAGCCTCCATGTAAGAAAGAATAATCAGCAGTTTTTTGAAGGCTATTTTCCAATTAGCTAATCACTGTGAGCCGTGTAGGTTTTTTGCAGCAATTCCTAGAAATAGAATTGCTGGATCAAGTTCCTTCGGAAAGGTTGTAAAGTCTGTCCTATGCTGGCAATGTTTGGGTCTGCTCACTTTGCAGTGCCCCATCTAATCTGGATATTAAGATTGCAGAACTCTTTCCTCATTGAATTGGTTAAAGTATTATCTTATTATTACTGTGCATTTCTTTGATTCCAGAGCAGGGACATTTTTCTTGTGTTAACTGGCAAGGATAGAATTTCCAAGTACAGTCTCGAGTCCTAAACTGTTTCTTTCTCTGCCAGCATGTTTGTACTTCATCTGCAAAGCATTGGAGAAAGATTGCCGGTACAGCAAAGGTCTGGTTCTCAAGGAGAAGATCTTTGAGGAGCAGCCTTGTCTCCGGAAGGACTCACTCCGAATGTTCCTCAAATGGTAAGTTTTGCCTTGTCCTATGCAGTGCCTGCACCCTTGCATTGTCTGGCTGGTGAACATCAGGAGCACGCCTCATTCTCCTCTTAGGTCCTGATCTCCCTGCAAATATAGCCCCTGAACTCTAGGGCTTCATCTCCTGCTACAGTCCCTCATCTAGTGAGTTTACCTTGATCTTCCTGTTTATGTCTTAATTGTGCTTAATCTCTTAGTGATGCCTCCTCAGACTGAGGTTTAGCACAGTTGCTGCCCTCCTTTCCCACTGATCTGCCAGCTCTCAATGTTCTCTGGCTTTTCTCTGGAAGCTTGTGACAGCCTGGTGCCCACCTTGCCTCCTTTCTTCTTCTTGGCAACCTTTTTTTTTTTTTTGGTGGTGCTGGGTTTGAACTCAGGGCCTCACGCTTACTAGGCAGATGCTCTACCACTTGAGCCACTCCACAGCCCTGTCCTTTCTTGACAAAGTTTTGTACCCAGTACTGTCCAAGATCAGAGTCCCAAATATGCCTCTCATCTTGAACCACTCTTGCCTTGCCTCCAAGAGAAAGCTTATACCTAGCTGCATTACCAAAGTGGTCCTTTGCACCCCGTTATCCTGTTTCTCCCTTCTTACCTCCTACTTTTTCCTCCTAGGCTTCTTTTATTTTAGCTGCCCCAGGTCCCTAGCACATCCCAGGCCTGGCCCTGTTGTGCACTGCCCTCTCTCCTCAAACTGGCTCCCACTGTGCACCAGTAAGTCTTGCCATTGTCCCACCTCTCCTCCTATCTTGCCATTGTGCCTCCTTCACTTTCTAATTCCCAGGTGATACCTCTATCACTTTCTGATCTCTAGCTGCCCCCTCCCCCAATCTCTCAACTGAGCCAACTCTTCTTGCCCTCTGGTATTCCTTGGTTCCTGGAGTTCACCCATTGGGGGTTAGTGGGTATTTATCTTGGTGTCTATCTCCCATGAACTTATGCTTATCTTCATAGCTGTCCTGAAGAACTCACCTTCTTGGGAGAGATAATTGACAAACACGACAGAGATACCTAAGTACCTAAGTGTATAGTTGTGTGGGGTAGGCCTGCTGGAGGCATCAGGACAGCCTGGGTAGGAGAGCAGATGTTATTGGCTCACCTCAGGCATAGTAAGATTGGGGGGGGGGCGTATCTGCACCTCAAAACCAATGCCCTTTCTGTATTTGGGAGATACCATTGACTTTGATAGCCTTGGTTTATCTAGTGACTTTTCATTGGGGTGGAATACAGGATAGTTAAGTTCTTCAAAAATCTTCTGTAAATAATTGAGAGCATTATTTTATTTTCTGGGACTTTTTAGACATTAAGATGATACTGTTAATACATATGTAAACTCTCTGCTCAGTTGTGATTTGTGGAAGGAATTAAGGGTGTTAGTCATTACCACTGTATGTGGGTATTAGGAATGCTAATTACCACCCATTTGAGGCCAGACTCAAGTGGTTATTTTATATGTAGGAAGAATCAATACATATTAAAAGGTATTAACTTTAATGGATCCCTCTCTGTAAAATTTCAGCTTTGGCTTTAGCTTATAACATTGTAATTTCTCCCTGTCTTACATGCTTTTAGTGACATGTCAATTCATGATGTGTCAGTGAGTGCAACCGAGACACAGGCTATTGTAGATGAGGCTCTGGGGCTGCGGAAGAAGAGGCAGGCACTGATTGTGCGAGAGAAGGAGCCAGACCTGAAACTGGTGCAGCCCATTCCCTTCTTAACGTAAGTTGTCCTGGGTCTCTAGGAGTGCTGGATTGGCTGGTGGGCCCTGATGCAGGACGCTGCCCTGCATAGGAGGGAGAAGTTCCAGGCCTCATCCTTGGCTGGTGGTATTGGTTGGGGGCTGATTGTGTAGTGGCTAGAAGGTTGGAGGCATACACCTACTTGTTGACTAGTAAGAAGCAGCTCAGTTCTCTCAGGCATACCCAGTCTACATCTAAATCCCTCCCAGTTCTTGCCATTTTTTTGTTGTTCTTGTTTTGTTTTGAGGTTCTGGGGTTTGAACTCAGGGCCTTGGGCTAGCTAGACAGGCATTCCACCACTTCAGCCACACCCTCAGCCTGGCTCTTGCCATTAGCTTAGCTACCTGCCACATTCCTATATGGCCCCTCTCAGTCTCTCTTACCCAGAGGGCAAAAGGAAACTAGTATTTGCCAGGTGCTGGCTAGGAGGAAACCCAGAAGCCTGTAGTTAATCCTAGGTGTGGATTTCTCTGGCTGTTGAAACAGTGTTCTGTCTCCAGGGCTATGTGGGTGCTCTGTAAGATAAGCCTTGGTATGGCCCTTGTGAGTCCTGTGCTGTGTGAGAGGCCCTCCCCCTCCAGCAAAGGCAAAGTGGTGTTCCTGGCCCGCTGGAGTTGGGATGGTTTAGCCCCTTTGTGAGCTTTGGCATTCAATTTCTGTTTTAAAAGTTCTGACATTGAATCTTGAATCTTTAAATTTAGCATGTCTTGGCATCACTATTCTGTCTCCCCTCCCCCACCTTTCCCGTACACACAGGCATTGACACATAGTAGTTTAGAAGCTCATCTCCTGAGTCAGACATACCTGAGTCCAGTCCTGGCATTCCTGATGTTAATTGCTGGTGACCCTGTAGACGTTACATGCTATTTCCTAAAAACAGCAACATCCCTCTTTTGTGAGGGCATCATGACAATGAAATAGAACATTAAGGGTTTCTGCTGGGGTGAGGGGCAGGAGGATCCCACGTCCCTTCTCTTGCTCTAGCTTGAGCTGCTCCATGGTTAGATTTGTTAGGTTGAAGATTTTGTTGGTTATGATAATGACATAATGTTGACTACCTTCTCCCACCTCTATTAAAGTCACAGCTCTGGGAGGAGGTTTACTGACTCTCCTCAGGCGCGTTAGCCTGTGACAGGGTGCTGATTAGGTGTGCTGGCCCTTTCTTTACAGGTGGAAGTGCCTAGGAGAGAGCTTGCTGGCCATGTACAACCACCTCACTACCTGTGAGCCCCCGAGGCCCAGCCTTGGCAAGAGAATTGACTTGTCTGACTACCAGGATCCCAGCCAGCTACTAGCATCGTCCATGGTGGTGACACCCGTCAGTGTGATCCAGCCGAGCCCTGTCAGCACCAACACAACTGTAGCTGTGGCTGAGCCTGTGCTCTCTTATGCCTCTGTGGCCACAGCCAGTTTTCCACTGCACAGTCCTGGTCTACTGGACACAGGCACTCCTGTGGGTGAGCAGGCCTCTTGGAGTCATCTTCCAGAGAGAACCTATTTGCTGAGCCCAGCAAGAGTGAGAGCATGGGGTGCTCTGGTCTTTCCAGGGAGATGAGTCATGCTGGTTCTTATGGCCTGAGTGAAAGTAGGAACCCTCAGTCCTGTAGAGTAGCCTATCAGTCTGCCCCCAGGGCCAGTACTTCAGCATCAAAGTCCCTACAACGAGGACATGGAGTCTTAGGGACACATCTCCTTGGTCACTGATAGTGCCCTCCCCCTCCAACCCCCTGCCCCAGGCTACTAAATCCTTCTTAGCCCCTGTGATGTGGGCATTGGCAGATCCCTGCTGCTAGTCTTGCTCTCTTGCTGGCCACATGCATTTTGAGTTCTTTGACCTCAGAAAATAGTAAAGTTAACACCATCTGTTAACTGGTAGTATATTTTTGTACTGTTTTATTAATTTTCTTTTAAGTTATAAAAGAATTTTTTGATGAAAGCTCCCATGCCTGATTTCTTTGTCATTGCAAAAAAAAAAAAGCATCTGTGTGGTGCATTTTTTCCCACTCTACCTGTCAGATTTTAATTTGCACTCTTTGTGAAGGTGACATTTCTGGGGGAGATAAATCCAAGAAAGGAGTGAAGCGGAAGAAGATTTTGGAAGAGAGTGGAGAGACAGCAAAGCGGAGATCTGCTCGTGTCCGAAACACCAAGTGCAAAAAAGAAGAGAAAGTAGACTTCCAAGAGCTTCTGGTGAAGTTCTTGCCATCCAGGTATTGTGCACATTCTTTCTAATTAGCAAAAGTAAGCAAATCCACAAACTGCTAGCCTACCTCTCCAATAATATTTCTCAGTCCATCATCATCTTATCCTCTGGGCATCTTTTTGTTTTCTCTTAGCATCTGTGCAAATATCCACAGCACAGCTCTCACCAGATTGAGATCTTGAATTTTTCTCACCTCTTCTATCTCTGAACTTTCCAAAGGCAGGAGCTGTGCTCTTTCATCTTTTGGGGATCAGGTACTTCCTGGGACTGAGAAGATGGATTAGGAAGATAGAGGCAATTCCCACAGACATCCACTTCTTGCAGGGACCCTGGGGCTGCTGTGCCTCAGATGCATACACCCATGGAAACCCCCTGGAGGGAAGCTTCTCTTCTGCTTTCAGGGAGTGTTCACCTGCTTAATTTCCTTTAGTCTCAGGAAGATTCCCTTGCATTCTGAGAAGGTGGAGGAGAAGCTTGTAAAGCATTCCTTGATTTCAGTGGTTCTTAATGTTCCACAGAGAAGCCCTGGGGAGGCAATGTGCCAGGCTCCCAAGCCAGGAGGAACCTAGACTCCAATGCTCCTGACATAAGTTATCACCAATTCTTTTTGTCGTTACCTACTTACCTCCTTCAGAGGCTTCAGAACCCTCTATCCCTCAGCCTTCTCGGGGTTTACAGTACCAGTGGGTGAGCTTCCTGGTAACCTCTACCTCCACCCTTAGCTGAGCGGAGAAAGCAGTTTAGTCACTCTGGTCCATCATCTTTCTGTCTTCTAATATTTGATTGGAATATTTTTTGTCTGCCAGGACTACTTCTCCTTTCTCTTGTGCCTTCATGAGTTTATACCTTTCTTATGTTTTTACAGTTACTGGAATGAGATTTGGGAGGCAACCATATTTGTTTATTATGTCATCTGACCAGGAATCTTTATCTGTCCTTTTGTCCATTGACAGTTTATTTCAGTGGTGACTCCATCAAAGCGCAGAAGGAAAATTCAGAAGATTTAGCAGAATTATAGATCCATTTTACAACAGGATTCCTGATTTTTTTAATTTGGTCTATTTTTTCTTTCTGTGGTGAAGATAGAATAGTTAGAATAAAGGGTGCTCTTGGTATGCAAGCCCACGATGAAAGTGCTTTTTTGGGGGTAGGGGGACTGGGGTTTGAACTCAGGGTTTCATACTTGCAAAGGAAACACTCTACTACTTGAGCCACACCTCTACCTGAGAATGCATTCTGATGAGTTTCTCCTGGAAACCCAGGTGTCCCCTTGGAAAAGCTGCAGGATTGTGCAGTTGTTGAGTGACCCTGTCTTTTCCTTTGCCCTGCTGTCCTATCCTGAAGCCTTTTTCCCTAATTCCCTTTATTTGAGATGATTTTGATTTTCTGTGAGGTTTTAGTTTTCACTTACTCATGTGCTCAGGCAAAAACAAGGGGACAGCTTGCCCAGAGTATGTGTGCAATAAGTGAATGGAGACATTTACAAGTGTCTTGAGTGTTTATGCTGCAGAGGTGCTGGGTTGAAGGAAGGCCCTGAGGATGACCAAAACATGATCCTTAGGAGGAGTCTGAAGAATGATGTCTGCAAGGAGAGGCTTCCCCAAGACTGGGTCAGGCCCAAAGCTTGTATGGAGCCAAGGAGAGATCAAGCTCAGATGGCCTAATTTGTCTCACCCACCCAGACACCTTCTCTTTGCTTGCTTGGCTCCCTTGAGGCCCTGTAATACACCTTGTGCTCTCTGACCTGTGCCTTTGCACCTGTTCTTGACCCACTTCTTTGCAGGGCCAGCCCTTCTCAATTGTCAGCCTGAATAGCACTTGTTCTGATTCTACATTATAAACAGGACCCTTGCAACTCCTTGTCTCAGGCAAACACTCTGTAGCAATTGGTATTTATTTGAGTTTGTGTTTGTGGATCTGCTTATTATCTTGTCTCTCCCATTAGAAAGTATGCTTCCTGAAGGCAGAGTCTTCTACACTTATAGCTGTATTCCAGCACTTACCGCCATGACTGGCACGTGGCTTATGTTCAGCAATCATCTGTTGATAGAATAAATAATGAACAAGTGAAGGTATAGACTAGACACTGGCACATGAAGCCCTGGAGAGAAGCAGAGCCTCCTAGAGGCTTGGGCTCTGGACTCTGCCACCTAGCTATTTGATCTCAGCTCAGAATTAGTTTCTCTACAAGAAACAATTCAGATGCTTGTGTCAAAATGAGTTCTGTGGCTTTTGTAACTTTGGCTTATTCCGTGCAGGTTAAGAAAGCTGGAGCCTGAGGAGGAAGATGATCCCTTTAATAACTATGAAGTCCAGTCAGAAACCAAACTGGAAAGTTTCTCAAGCATAGGGCCTCATCGACTATCATTTGACTCAGCTACATTCATGGAATCTGGTAAGAATCAGCTTTGTGGCCAACCACTGCTGGGAATTTTTCCTCCTGTCATCCCATAACATGACTATGTTTTGTGCAGGAAGATGGTTCTGAGGTGTTTTTTAAACTTCGGTTAAGGAACTGTCTGAGTTCAGTTGGGAGGTCTGCTGAAATGTCCAGGCTCATACTTGTGCTTCCTGAGGGCTGAGTGCTTAATGGTGAATTCAGAGGTGTGGATTTGCAAGTTGAATGTATGTTACCACAACTGTTGAGTGTGTATTGTGTTCCAGATACAGTGCTTTGTACTTTTTGTGCATGATCTCATTCAGTACACACAATAGTACTTGGAAATTGGCTCTTTTGATGTCCACCTTGGAAAATGGCAATTTTGAGAGACTACTTATCCCTGATGAGGGCTAGAGCCAGGCACTGAACCATGGCAGCCTGACTTTAGCACTGCAATATAGTACTGTGTTTAGCTGGGTTAAATGGTGGAGGGAAGACACAGGTTGTCCTTCAGAGAGAGTGGGAGACTGGGCATGGAAGGTCTCCTTCATCCAGGTCAGGCTGCTCTCCCTTCCCTGGCAGAGAAGCAGGATGTGCACGAGTTCTTGATGGAGAACCTGACCAACGGAGGCATTCTGGAGCTGATGATGCGCTACCTAAAGGGCATGGGCCACAAGTTCCTTCTGAGGTGGCCACCTGGCCTAGCCGAGGTTGTGCTCAGCGTCTATCATAGCTGGAGGAGGCACAGCACCAGCCTGCCAAACCCACTGCTGAGAGACTGCAGCAACAAGCACATCAAGGTTGGGGCTCTAAAGGATTGGCGTCAGAGTGGACTAGGGGACAGTAGTAGGTATCTTCCGTGGGTATGGGGCCTGTATGTTCAGCCTACTTGCTGCATCTACTTGTAAGTCTGGAACCTAGGCCATTGCAGGGTTTGAAGCAGGAAGTTGTAGGGCCAGGTTTGTGCCCAGAAAGACCTCAGGTGACGAAGTGGAGGATACTCCAGGGGTGAGAGTAGGAATAGGGAACTGGCATGAGTCTGCCAAGGGGATAGCTGATGCCAGTGGTGACAACAGGGGAGTGGGGATTCTGGAGAATGGATTTGACTTGGATGAGAGGGAACATAATCATAGTGAGTAATTCTAGTATCATTCACTGAGATGGAGAGAACTGGGAGAAAGGGAGGTATTCAACTGTGTTTGACATGCCAGTGACTGTTACTGATTTTTTTTTTTTTAACGAGTGGGAAAAAAAGAAGTATAGGGACTAAATAGGGTGCTTAAGGGAGTGTGTGGGGGAACTCCAGCAGTTAGGGACTTAGCCCTATCTGACCACTGTTATTCTGCACTCCAGGCTCCTCCTCTCGGTGCCTCCCAGAGCCCGAGGGAAAAAAGGGCACTCAGGTCCCCTTTTCCATTGGAGGTGGAATGCCTAGTGCTCAGGTGGAAGCATGGGGAGAGCTGATAGGGCCTGCCCAGGTGGTCTTTCTGGCTGAGGATCAGGTTGGAATTGTCAGGCCTGTAGGGGCATGTGGGTCAGTGTTTCCTCACTAGGAAAATTCCACTAGAAAATCTCAGGACTGCATCCTGGTACTGTGTGGATCACCAGGGACTGTGTGGATCAGCAGTAGCCAAAGCTTTGGGCCCCAGATAAACTGGGTTGATCATTTTTCAGCTGTGCCTACTGGCAGGTACCTCCTTATCACTGCGCCTCAGCTTCCTCAAGTGCCCTTAGAATAATGCATTGTCCATCCGTCCCCATCCCCCACCCCTAACCCTGGACACTTTTAAGGCTCAAGTGTTACAGTTTGGGTGCAATATCTGGCCTGGCTCATGGCAGATGACAAGCTGTCTCTTCCATAAGACTTTAAGGACAGATCCCATGCCCCTCCCAAATCTTATCCCTGTATAGATCCATGTATTTCTTTTTCTATCCTGGCAAGTAGCCACCAAGATTATCATTTAGGAAATGGAAACTAGGTAGATTGAAGAAATATGTTTTTATCAAAAAGTAAATTTTACTTTATTTCCCCTGCTCTCATGCTTTGGCAAATGTTTATGACCTTGTTCCTGACCTTCCTGTGCCTATCCTGTAGGACATGATGCTCATGTCTCTCTCCTGCATGGAACTCCAGCTGGACCAGTGGCTGCTGACCAAAGGCAGAAGTTCTACAGGTAGGAGGCGTCTGTGTTCTATAGCAGGGTGATTTTCTGAACCACAGCAGTTTAGAGGAAACTGAAGCAGAGAGGCTAAGTCATGGAATTCAGGCATATACCGCAGTGAGCATGTTTTTTGGGTGACTTGTCAGGGTCCCAGAGATACCTGTCTAAGATTTGAGAGGTGGTTAGTGCAGCTAAGACCCCAGAAGGAGCCACCTTCCTATTTTGCTGTTACTTGGGATTAAAGAAAGCAGGATCTCAGTTTTGGATTGCCTGCTTGATGCTTTATGTGTCCCCAGTAATTTTCCTAGATCCATATGATCCATGTGATCATTCTGACTTTTAAACTCCACCTTGTAGAATGCAGATATGCTCAAAGATCAGTCTATAATATTAGTGGCCCTCTTTCCCCCTCTAGCTCTTAGATTCTCTGCATCTCTGTATGATTGGTCTGATCTTTCTGTTGTCTGATGCTCAGGAGGCCATAAGGCTCCAGGGACCCAGGGTACCCAGAGAGACTAAGGGCAGTACAGTGAGGTTTGAAGGAGACCTCTGGGGAGCAGAAGGGCATTTAGATGCTGCACATAAGGGTGACTTGTTGACATGATGGGTTTTAGTGTCTTCTCGGAACTGCCCTGCTGGTGTGGTGAATGGCAGATTTGGGCCTGACTTCCCAGGAACCCACTGCCTGGGTGACCTTCTGCAGCTGTCATTTGCCTCATCCCAGCGTGACCTGTTTGAGGATGGATGGCTGGAATTTGTTGTCCGCGTTTACTGGCTGAAGGCTCGTTTCTTGGCACTGCAGGTTAGTCTCATGGTCATAGAATATCCTGGAACCTGACAGGGAGGGCAGAAAATTGGCCATATAGAGGACATACATGTGACTATGTGTGTGTGTGTGTATGCATGGTACCTACCTAGACACTGGGCTTGGCGTGAGGAAGTGGGACATGAGGAACTGTCAGTGTGTCAGAAGTCTAAGCATGACCACTGCTCTGTAAATTACTTTAGAGACCCATAGAGCTCTGAAAGGGATCTCCTGTGTCCCCTGTTGGTCCTTACTCAAGATTGCCTTGGTTGACCTTTTACTTATATTTTTCTGAAAGAGCCCAACCAAGTACCTGAACAGAACCAGAGCTTTCTAGAAGGAGCTGTCCACCTATTTTGTGAGAGTTTTAGTCAAGCTTCTCCTTGGAGCCTGGTCTGGAAGGCCAGGATGGGTTGGCTGTTCCCCAGCAACTAGCACTGATGGTACCTGGTCCACTGATAAAATGAGCCAAAGATGGCCTGAGTTCTCAGCAGTAGCAGTTCAGTCTGAGGGAAGCAACAGTGTTTAATTTGAGGAACATCAGTCCTAGAATTCAGACAGGCCTAGGTTCTAATCCTGGCTCTGCTAGATACCTGGCCTTTCTCATATATCATCTGTATCCTCATCTATAATACGAGTTAATGATATTTCCTGTTACAGGGCTATGATGGATCATTCATTCATTCATACATTCACTCATCCAATCATTTAACAAATATTTTTGTATTCCAGCTATGTGCCAAGCCCTTTTTTGATGGGGTATTACAGTAATTGGATTACCCCCCACCACACACACAGACATACACACGAGTACCCACGATCTAGTGAGATCAGGAATGTGAGGAACCTGACACAGAACAATTAGTTCCCTGCCTTTTGCCCCTGTTTCATGGTTTTCCTTCTGACCAGGGAGACATGGAGCAGGCCCTGGAAAACTATGACATCTGCACAGAAATGCTCCAAAGCTCCACCACCATCCAGGCAGAAGCAGGGGCTGAGCAAAGGGACATTGTCATCCGACTGCCTAATCTCCACAACGACTCTGTCGTTTCACTGGAAGAGGTGAGTGGGAGTTTTTAATGGTGTCTTCTTGGTCAAAGGTTTATTCTGAGTCAGCCATTGGAGACCAGGTCTGACCTATCCTTGCCCACATGCCTAGCAGAGTTCCTGGAGGGAGCATAGGAGAGGCCTAGGACAAGCAACTCTGGCACACTAGGGCCCCACAAACTCCCTGATAACATACTCCCCTGATGGAAAGCTTGTCCAGATGGCTGGTGTGGAAGCTTCTGTCAGCATGATTTAGAAGTGGTTATTGTTCAGGTCTCTGCGTGGTGCTAATCCTAAAAGAACTGGAGGGAAGTGTCAGCTGATGTAGATCAATGCTAATCTGGCCACAGACTGTAACAGCAGTGCAGAATGTGTGTGTTATGCTCCTCCTGGGTAGTGCTGTTCTCATGGTGCAGCCTCAGCTCTGCTGCAGTTCTGTTTCTGTGATGTGTCCACAGGCTGAAAGAAGCCTTTAGATTTTTCCAGCTTCGTTTCAGGTCAAGACCAGGTGTAGTGCCCTGCTGCCTGTGTGCTGAGGCTTTATCAGACCCCAGGTGAGGAAATGTAATATGTGCCAATGCCTGGTCCATCTTGAGTCTGGCAGCCTAATACTCCATGGATCTGCAAGTCGGACTTGTTGATCTGTGGCCACAATTTTGCTATCTGCTTCTGCAGTAGTTTGGGGTTTGAGTGTTTTTATTTTTTAAAGGATTGAATGCCTTAGAGCTAAGAATGTAACTCAGTGGTAGAGTGCTTGCCTAGCATGCACAAGGCCCTGTATTCAATCTCCCATACTGCACCAGCCCGATTGAGAGAGGGTTTGCCATTAGGCAGCATTTCTGGACCTTTTTCAGATTGATAAGAACCTGAAGTCACTAGAACGGTGCCAGTCCTTGGAGGAGATTCAGCGGCTGTATGAGGCGGGGGACTACAAGGCTGTTGTGCATCTGCTGCGCCCCACTTTGTGCACCAGTGGATTTGACCAGGCCAAACACCTGGAGTTTATGACTTCCATTCCTGAGAGGCCGGCCCAGCTGCTTCTGCTGCAGGTGTGTGCTCCCCTCTGTGTCCTCATATCTGCTTGTACCTTACTTGCTTCTTTATGTGCTTGCTTTCTCAAGGCTTTGAGGTAGTCCTCAAGAACATGTGCGTAGAAAAGTGGGAGTCCAGACCACCAACCCAGTCTCTAAGAAGATGCTAGACAGAAGATACCATCAAGACTGGGGTGCGTTAGAGCCTAGGAGTGCAGGTTCTAAGAGGCTCCATGTGACTCCAAGTGAACCACATACTTGGCTCTGAGTGAGAGAGTAGTCAGGACACCACCTGTCCACCCGTTCATTTGTTCATCCATCTCTGTGTTCACTGCCTTTTGTGTGTTTGTTTTTGTTTTGAGACAGAGTTTCAGGATTACTGTTGATTGCCACCATGCCCACTGGTGTTTTTCGTTTTTTTTTTTTTAAAGCAGTTCTTGGGATTGAGCCCAGGGCCTCTGACAAGGCCTAGGCAAGGGCTAGGCAAGTCTTCTACCACTTGAGCTATGCTCCCAGTCCTTTTGTTTGTGTTTTGTTTTTGAGATAGGGTCTTGCTAACTTTGCCTGGGCTGGTCTTGAACTCATGATCTTCTTGCCTCTGCCTCCCTATTACAGACATGTGCCACCAAGCCAGCCTGTTACTGCTTTTAACTTAACTATTGAGTAAATATAAATGTCTATGCAATGCAAAGAATGAAGATAAAGACCCATGTACAACTGCATAGTTGGAGAAGAACACCAGCATTGTATTTGAAGCTACTTGGGCCTTTCTGGCTCCCTCTCTGCCTCTGTTCTTTAGGAAGTCAACTCTTATGGAGAGCCTGCCAGGGAGCCAGCAGTTGCTACCTCCTAGGCAATTACTTAATCTCTCTGAGGCTCAGCTCATCTCTAGGATGGGGGTAATCAGTATTCTTACCTCAGAGGCCTGTTGTGGGGATTATGCCAAGTTAATGAGTGTCGGCATGGTACCTAGCACATAGCAACTGCCATGGAGGTGGCCCTATCGTCACTGCTACCACTTTTTGTATGAAATTGGATAGAGAGACAAATATGAATTACAGTAATGTGCTTGGTGCCATTGGCTGATCTATAATTTTGTCCCCTTATTGTTCATACTACTAATTATATTATTGGGTCTTTCCTTTTCATTTTGGAAAGAGAACCCAGTATTATTTCAGCTTTTTGTTTATAGTACATGTGGCATTTTAATCATTAATTTTCTTGAACTAGGAAATAGTTGAGAGGTATGCTGTGGGAACAAAGGGAGGTATCTCAGCCCTGGTGAAAGGGGAGGAAAGAGTTGGTTTGGGGAGAAAGAAAAGTGGTAGGTAGGGAGGCAGGCTCCATCTGCTGGCCAAGGTGTCAGGCAGGTCTAAATCAAGATTGGGGATGAGATGTGTCTGACCTTAGTTACTATGGCAGGCTTTGGGATAGCCGAGCATGACACTGTGTGGAAGGGATATCTGGGTGTATCCCTGGAGGGCTGTGGATGGGGAGAAGGAGAGAAGAGGTCAGTCCTTTCTGTAGGATAGTCTCAGTGCTCAGATGTTGGCTTGCTCCTATGGATGTCAGCAACTACTGATATGGCTAGAAACTCAATTGATGGGGAGAAGCTGCTGTTTGGATGGGTACTGAGCTATGATAAGGGCTATACCTGAAACCTGGAGCATGTGCTGTGGAAGCTCTTGTGTTTTGTGAATGAATGACTCCTGATTGTTGGTCAGTTTTCTATTGGAGGGTATTTTCTTTTTGATCGGAGTATTTTTTATATATTGAAGATATTAATCTTTTTCTCATCAGATTTTGAAAATATTTTTTGCCAACATGTTGTTTACTCTTCACATTGCCTCTTTTAACCCAGTATGGTGACTCAGATCTTTAATCATACCACTGTGGACTAAGGTAGGAGAATGGCGAGTCAGAGGTCAGACTGAGGTACATAACAAAACCCTGTCTCAAAAAAAAATTGTGACTTTTTTTGTTTTTTGTTCATCTTATATACATAAGTTTTGAATTTTTATGTTTTCAAGTCCATTTATGTTTCCAAGTGTTTGTGATTTTGTTCATTTTGATTTTATTTGTTATGTTTTGATAGCCTTTCCCAGGCTGGAAAAATACTCATCTATTCATTCCATACACAAGGCTTGAGCTCTTCTAGTGTGCCTACCACAGGACCAGAGGAAGGACACTCTGACCGTACCAATGTTCTGGAGGGGAGGCAGCAAGAGACACACTAACAGAGATAACAAGTGTGTTTGTTCTTGTTTTCTTTTAGTAGCATTGGTGGTTTATGTTTTGTATTTTAACTGCTTCCTTTGGCTTCTCTGGAATAGGGGACTGAGTTTGGAATTCTCTCCTATGTCTTTTATGTTCCTCAGTATAATTGCATAGTTTTCTTCTTGAGTTGATTTTTAGATCTTAATATTTTTGGTGAGAAGTATCTTTTTGTTGGTCATTATACTTGGAACTGAGCATTGTTGGTTTATAAGAACCCTATTGATTTTTGCCCATGTGTGCATAAGTGTATTCACATTTCTGATTGCTTTCTGTTTGTTTTCTTTTATTTGGGTAAATGATTATGTTGCCCACAATCAGTGGCAACTTGGTCTCCACATTTGTTGGCAGTTACTCTGCCTTTTTTATTCTTTCTGGCTTTGAGCTCTGGGGATTATGTCATATTAGAGCATTATTGGTTGATCCATGTGTTATACTAACTTTCACGGCACAGTTTAAGGCCTATCATTTTTATTTGCCCCTCATGTGTTCAGCATTTTGATCAGGAGGGGTCAGCTTAGGGTTTGGACTCCACTACTGCACTCTGTAGGTACCTCCCACCTCAGTGGCCCTCTGTTCAAGGAGCTGCTTTCTCTAAAGAAACATAGGCTCCATTTTCCTGGTAATTAGGACTGATAAATTAGGGGAAGTTTTGATCTGTGTTCAGATGTTACAGCACATTTCAAAGGCAATTTGGACATTCAGAATACTTATCCATGTCACCTCAGAGAATGGCAGCTGCACATTTGAGGTAGGCAGGAGCAGTTGCCAGGTCTGGGATGTGGGGAGGTCAGAGCCCAACAGGGCACCCAGCAGCAGGTGCTTCCTGTTGGTCCAACAAGCAGCCCATCAGATCTGTGAATTTACAGACAGGCATACACCAACCATTGATGAAAGAGCCTGGCATCCAGGTGTTTAAGTGGGTTATATTCAAGAGCTCCCCTCCCCCAAAAAAAGGAACTTTGCAAAAAGTGATGACTTCCAAAGAAGAGATTTTTAAAAAGAAACAGTAGCTCCGTATGGTATTCTGAGACCTCTTATACAGCACTGGGCGCTGTGCTAAGTGGGATGTGCATGTCCATTAGCTCATTGCCTCAGAGGAGGTGGTGCGTGCAGTGGCTCTCTCCTGGTGCTGAGAGTGACTCAGGTCCCACCTGGCCACTGGAGAAGAGGGGCTCACAGAACGATAACTTTAGTGCTGCCTGGATGACTGGCCCTGCTGTAGATTTGGTTCAGGCACTCCCTTGCTGAACTAGTTCCTCCCTGAAAGCCTGTCCAACCCTACTGAGCCCCCTCTGAGCGCTGGAGGGACTGATGCCATGGGGGAGAGCAGATAGAGGCGTTAGAGTTCCTCATTCTCACCTTGCCACTTACTGGCTCTGGGGCCACATTCCCAGGATCCTGGTTTTATAAATGGAGAAAGCGAGGCACAGAGGTAAAGTGTCTTTCTAAAAGCCCCTGGCTGGTGGCATGTCATGCTACCATCACACACAGGTCACTGTCTGCACTCCTAGACATCTCAAGGCTGTGTAGGTCCTGTGCTGCCCTGGGAGACCTTCCTTTCTTTTGCACTCTCCCTCTTCTCATTACCCCTGCTCTCCTTGTCCCAAGCCTGAGTCTCAGGTATACTGAGCTCACAGGCACCCTTTCATTTCATTTCTTCCTTTCTCAGGACTCCTTGCTCCGACTGAAAGACCACCAGCAGTGTTTGGAATGTTCTGATGTAGCTCTGAATGAGGCTGTCCAGCAAATGGTGAACTCCAGTGAGACTGCAGCTAAAGAGGAGTGGGTGGCTACAGTGACCCAGCTATTGCTGGGCATTGAGCAGGCGCTTTCTGAGGACAGCAGCGGCAGCATCCTGAAGGATTCATCCTCCACCACTGGCCTCATCCGGCTTACCAACAACCTCATCCAGGTAGCTCCTGGCGCCTTCTCACCTTGTCCTGCCCAGCAGGGTGTGTCACTCTGATGCCCCCTTCTGTAGATAACTGGTTTTTTTTCCTGTGAGTTAGGCACACCAAAGGGGATGGGTTGGCCTCTCTGGCTGGAACTTTTGGGATCTGCAGAGGTGGCTATGCACAGACTGCATCCTTCCTTGGGTCTGGGGTTAGAGATGATACAGCAGTTGGCTGGTACTACAGGACTCTCCCAGATCTATTCAGAAAGGAAGAAATAGGCCCAGAGGGGAGGCACGGTCTGCCTGCAGTGAGGCAGAGTGGGGGCTTGAGCCAAGGCCTGAATCCTGGCCAGGCCTGGCACTTGTAACTAAGGAGTGGTCACAGCACCCCACATTCATCTATGCAGACTTAGAGGCAGAGAACCTCTGAGCCACCCTTATCTTTCTCTCCAATCTGTTCAGGTCATCAGCAAGTCTTATCACATCCTTCATACCTTTAGCTTTGTTTCTCATCCCATTGTCCTTGTTCTGTCATAGTCCAGGTCACTGCCATCTCTTGAATGAACTATGACAGCACATACCCTGCATTCCTTTCTTCCCCTCTACCTTTCCAGCCCAGCCATCACCCTGCCACAGAGGTACCTTCCCAAAACAAAAATATGAATATCTCTTCCCTCTGGGTAGTGTGCCACCCAAGGTGCACTGATCCCCAACTGGCTTTCACTCTTTCCCCTTCTACTTCTTTGCCTGCTTGCCAGATCTGTCCTCTTCCTTCACGCCCTGCCCTCTCTAGGTATTGGACACACCACAGCCACTCATCTAGAAACCCCTCAAGGGCTCACCTCTCTCTGCCTTCCCCCTCCTATGTGACTCACCATTGGCTATGTTTCCTCTCATCACAGCAACTATACAGATTGATTCTTAGTGCTCACGTAGCTTGTCCATGGCTCTATCTTAGGACTGTTACTGCCCCATGTTATGTTTACATGTAGGAGGATGGTGATTTTTGTTGGGCACAGTGGGACTCTGTCTGATAACCTAGTAGGGTACTGCTAGGTCAGTGTTCCCACATCAGAGTGGTGAGAGGAGGCAGGCAGCATTCCCCAGCTCTCCTAGAGGGCCATGGGGCCTCATTTCAGGAGGGCAGGGGGCAGAGCTGAACCCTGCCGTGACATCCCTGGTGCTCTCTGCCAGGTCATTGACTGCAGCATGGCTGTGCAGGAGGAGCCCAAGGAGCCCCATGTCTCTTCAGTGCTGCCCTGGATCATCCTGCATAGGATTATCTGGCAGGAGGAGGACACCTTCCGCTCCCTGTGCCACCAGCAACAGCTCCAGAACCCAGCAGAGGAAGGTATAGTTGGCAGTAGATTTGATGGGCTAGGCCTTGACTCACACGTCCTTGCCCCTAACCTCTGCCCCAGGGCTCCAAGGCCCTACCCCGGTACTGTGAGTAGGTTTTGGGCTCAGTGTGACAGGATTTCACATGGCAAGACCAAGGTAGAGGCTTCACTGTTTCTTTCTTTAGGAAGCTTGATGTATAGTGGCATGGGAGACATGGGTGACATCCACATCTGGAGGATAAAGCCAATAAACCAGCATAAGTCAGGATAGCAAAGGAATGGGCAGGAGTTTGTGATGAACACTTAGTCCATTTCAAATTGGAATTGAGAGAAAGCAACTAGGCTAATTATGGTTGCAGAAAAGAACGAAAATGTTATAAACCTAGAATGTCTACAAATAATTCTTGCAACAAAACAAAGGTAGGGAGGGAGGAAGAAGTGTACAAAACTAACCACCAGTTTAATAGAGATTATCTTGATGTCTTTGAAAATGGAAACTAAAAGACCCATAAAAAGCTAGAGTGGCTTAAACTTCTTAGTGATTATCTGACTTTTTTTTTTTTTAAAGGAACCAGAGCTTATTCTTTTGGCAGAGACTGTCCAGTAGTAAAAAAACACAAATTTGTCCTTGCACTGCTGGCTATCATACCTTCTGGTGTTTTCTGTTCTGATACGCTCTGTTTTAATCGATTCTAAAAATCCTAGTTATAAACCACTAATGGGTTATGGCCCAGAGTTTCAAAAATACTGAGGATCCATAAGGAAGTAATAATAATTCTAGCGATGAGCAAATATTTAACTGAAACTCAGTTGTTCTTTTTCCTTTTTTTTTTTCTTTTGTCTGTAATATTCAAGTACACTTAGATATAAGAATTTTTAAGGACTGGCAGAATAGCTCATTTGGTAGAGCACTTGCCTAGCAGTGCAAAGCCTTGAGTTCAGCCTCTAAGTCTAAGTCTGAGAAAAAAAAAAGAAAGAAAAGAATTTTTAGAAAATGGTAATTAGAGTACTAGTCCCATGGTTATAAATTATTTCTCTCTCTTTTTGAAAATGCCTTATATATGCACAGAAAGCTGCTTTGTGTGATGTGTACCAGATGTCAACATTGGTTCTTTGAGGGCTTGTATTTTAGTGAATGAAACATTCTTTATACTTTCCTGTACAATTTCAGTTGCCTTTTGATAAGCATGATTAAGACAGAAAGCCCCCAAAGAAGAGACCGGGCCTTTCAGACCTCCTGCATGTGTCCGTGGTCTTGCTAACTCTGTGTCTGTTGGTCTCGGCTTTTCCCAGGGATGTCTGAGATGCCAATGCTCCCATCCTCCCTTATGCTGCTCAACACAGCTCATGAGTACTTGGGTAGGAGGTCCTGGTGCTGCAATTCAGATGGGGCTATGTTGCGATTTTATGTGAGTAACCCCCAGCTTGTGCACTACCAGGTGGGGCTGGCGGGGTGGGGAGGAAGGGGAAAAGTCATGTTGGCTCCCTTGGACTTGCTTGGTCTTTCCTTTCAGGGGGGACCACTGTACTTCTTTGACTGTACTGATGTATGTGACTTCCAAAACTTGCCAGAAAATCTGACCTTGGTTCCTGTTAGTCAGCTTTCCATTATCATATCAAAATACCTGAAATAATCAACTTAAAAGGAGGAAAGGTTTACTTTGGCTTGTGGTTTCAGAGATTTCAGCCCATGGTCACTTGGCCACATTGTCTTTGGGCCTGTGGCAAGGTGGTATGTCATAGAGAAAGCTCGTGTGAAGGAAGCCTATTCACTTCATGGTGACCAAAAAGCAAAGAGAGAGACAGGAAGGAATTGAGGACCCAGTATCCCCTTCAAGCATATACCCCAAATAACTGACTTAACTTTCTTCTGCTAGCCCCTACCTCCTAAAGGTTCCACTACCTCCCAGTAATGTCACAGACTGGGGCCAAGCCTTAAACAAACAAGTCTTTGTAGGCCTTTCAAGATCCAAACTCTAGCAGTTTCCATAATGGTGCATGTCTATATCCCAGTGTTCCAGAAGCTAAGGCAGGAGGACCCTGAATTCCAGGCTAGTCTGGGCTACACAGTGAGACCCTGTCTGAAAACAAAGCAAAACTAAATAAATAAAAGAAGAAGATGCTCAGTAAATATTCGCTTAACATATGAACAGCTAAATAAATGAGTAAGGAAGTTACCAAGGGCATATATCTTCTTATAATGGAAACTGGCAAGGTGTACTGGAAGGAAAGCAGTTCACAAGCCCAGTCAGAGACACCCAGAGTAACCCCATTAAAATAACATATCTTTTCCCAGAAACAGGTCTTTTGAAATAAGGTCATGCAGGGGACCCTGACAATGCTTCCTGAAGTTAAGAGTTGATAGAATGGTGATCTCCCTGGGGGTCCTGCTGTGACTGGAAGCTGTGGCTGCAGGTCCTCTCCTTAAGCATATCTTCCTGCCCACCTTAGGTGCGAGTTCTCCAAAAGGAGCTTGCTGCATCCATGTCTGAAGACACCCACCCTTATAAGGAGGAGCTGGAGACGGCCTTGGAGCAGTGCTTCTACTGTCTGTACAGTTTTCCCAGCAAGAAGAGCAAGGCCAGGTACCTGGAGGAGCACTCCGCTCAGCAGGTGAGGATGACACCACAGGCTTAGAGAAGAGGCACTCTGAGGAGGAATGGAGCTCCAGGGAAGCAGCAGTTCTTTTGAAGGACATCAGATTTGTCATGAACAGCTCCACAGTGCTAGCATAAGTTGTACTGGGAGGAGGCAAGAAGATGGTCTGATGTCATCTGACCAGAGAACAAGGGTTTCCTTGCAAAAATGTAGCTTCATGAATTGTTGATTAATGATTGAAAAATGCAGTGTGACAACTATCATAGATGTATTTGTAATCAATTTGGATGATATGCATAATTTTTCCTTCTTCATTTTTGTTTGGTTTTACAGAACACTATTAAGTGTATTATCTCATTGCTCCTCAATACTGCTAGCTAATCTCTGATCTTAGGAATTCTATTCCCTAACATGCATGCAGGAGTCAGCCCCTGCCTGTAGAACCACCCTTTCCCAGAGTCAGCACTCAGTTTTTGTTAACAAAATAACTGAGGGACCACCTGAGATATGGAGAAGATCATTGGCCAGCCCCAGATCCCTACTCAATTGAACCCACCATCTGACTGACCCACATGGTCTTTCAGAGCACAGCCCTCAGTTTCTAACATCTGTCTTTAGAAAGACTAAGTTTATGCTTTTCAGACACTTAGATTTGAGGATTACATTAGGCATGCAGATTTTAAGATGTATAATGGACTTTTAGGCTCTCTGATATATTGTAACTTTATTTACATCAGACATTATATTTCTATCAAGGAACTTTTTCTTATTTTCTTTACCCTGAATGTACTGTGACTCTGCTTTCTGTCACTTTTTCAAGGTGGATCTTATATGGGAGGATGCCCTGTTTATGTTTGAGTATTTTAAGCCCAAGACCCTTCCTGAATTTGACAGCTACAAGACCAGCACTGTATCTGCTGACTTGGCCAACCTCCTGAAGAGAATTGCTACCATTGTGCCCCGCACAGAGAGGCCTGCACTAAGCCTGGACAAAGTCTCTGCCTACATTGAGGGGACCTCAACTGAGGTGGGCTTCAATGGATATGAGGAGGTGGCAGTTAATGGGGTTGGGTCACATTCCTTCTGCTCTAGCACTGTTGCATATATGTCCTGCCTTCACCTGCTTTGCACCAGATGCCAGGGCCAGGAGAGCTGGGAGTCTGTCCTATGTTGATGTGATCAAATAGTCCTGGGTTTATAGGTCATCCTGAGTCCTTGGCTCCACCTCTTCTCATATTTACCCTCTCACATGCCAGGTGCCCTGCCTTCCAGAAGGGGCGGACCCTTCTCCTCCAGTGGTGAATGAACTGTACTATCTCTTGGCTGATTATCATTTCAAAAACAAGGAGCAGTCCAAGGCCATCAAATTCTACATGCATGACATCTGCATTTGCCCCAACAGGTGAGTAGCATGGGTGTGGGATCAGACTAGTTGCCAGAGACTGGGCAACTCTAGTTTAGCCTACTCTTCAGTAGGCCAGTTTGGAGCTTCTCTGCACATAGCAAAGAGACCAGGGTGTACAGTAGTGTCTGACTGCAGTGTTGAAAATTCCTGTGGGGGAACCAGATCGATGAGGACACTGTTGACAGTATTTTCATTCCCCTGTATTGTCCATTCCTTCTGCTTTTACCAAGCTGGGAATGGCCCACATTGCCCAAGCATTTCATAGAGCACCACTTGGGGAGGGAGAAAAAATAAGGATAGGACCTAGTGTAGCTTATCCGCTTTGCCAAGAAAACATTTCTGAGCCTAGTTCCAGGACCATGCCTACCCTGCAAAGTCAGAGTCCAGCACAAGAGCTCTGGGTACGTCTCCCCTCACACTACAATTGCCTTGGGGTCCCTTGATATACCAACTAGTCAACACTTCCAGAGGTGAGCTGTGTACTGCTCTCTGCTATTATCGATGCCCACATCAGAAAAAGGCCCTGGGAGGGACACACAACCATTTTCAGTTGCCATGATGATGTGTTTCTGCTTTTCTTACTTTGTGACAGGAAATAGTGGTTTCCATGTTGGTTTTCATGCACTCACATGAGCACTGTCAAGATGTGGTCCCTTCCCCCAAGATTAGGGCAGATGAAGTTATTGAAGGCATGCTAGAAATTGAAAACTCCCTGCTGTGAAACTGGCTCTGGTGAAGAGGGTTTGCTACCTACTCTCATGCTCCCTTCCCTAGCATGACCAGAACAGAGCCAGGAAGATACAGTAGTTCTAGGTCCCCAGACCCCTGAGAAGGAAAGGTTTTTCTTAGGAGCCCCTTACATGAGTTGTGTAACTTTGCTGTCCTTTTATCACCATGGAGCCTTTGATGTCTTTCCTGTTCTTTTGTTTACATGATATCATCCTTTGGTGCTAGAGCACAGTGAAAGTATATCTGCGCTTCACAAGATTCCTCTGCCTTTACATGACTAGAAGACTACTACATAGTTAGGAAGCTAGTTAGCCAGTTTCAGAGTCATGCAAGCTAACTTTACCTGTGGTGAGCTAAGAATTGTTGATATATGGGAAGGTAGTATCTGTCCTTTTGATTGCTACTTTTTCTGTTCTCTGTATTAGCAGTCAGAAATTTCCAGACTCTATGAGAGCCCAGAAATCATCTTGGTCTTGGTATCTTTTGGCCGTTCTGATTCTCTGAGAGGTTTCTGTATTCTTACTTTGAGTTTCTCTCAGGTGATCTCAGAATAGTAAGGGCTTAGCAATCATGTGGTCCTCTCACTCTTCCTCTCACTGTTGAGAACTGAGCTGAAAAGGCCAGGGTCTACTCAAGGTCCCAGAGAGAGAACAGGGAAAAGCTGGGTGGCTGCTGTGCCAGGGCTTTCTGCTGCCTGTACTCTTACTTGGTGTGTTGATAGAAAGCTCTCCCCACACAGAAGAGAAGAGTTTCCCTATTACCTCAGCTGGGCCCCTGTTGTGGTACCTACAAAGTACCCCTATTCCTTTCCACCAAAGCAGTTTCATGGGTAACCCTTCATTGTAGGGAAACATAGTCCAAGAGCCATCTGTTAAAGCAGTCATTGAGTGCCTGTGAGGTACTGAGGGACTTATAAACATTTTGTCTCTTAGCACCCCACAGCTCTTCTCTTGAGGTAAATCTTCTTAGCTATACATCATGGTATAGGGGACATGGCTAGTCCAGGTCATATTGTGTGGCCAAATATGTGAGTGGAGCTTCCACAGCGTTAATCTGCCTGTCTACCCACCAGGCTGTTGTGTCTGCGGTGCCACTGAGGCAATGGTGTTTTTAGTCAGTGCTTTTGTCACCACCCCAGGTTCGATTCTTGGGCAGGCATGGCTCTGGCCCGAGCCAGTCGCATTCAGGATAAACTGAACTCCAATGAGCTGAAGAGTGATGGACCAATATGGAAACATGCCACGCCTGTCCTGAACTGCTTCCGGCGGGCTCTAGAAATTGACAGCTCTAACCTGTCCCTGTGGATCGAGTATGGTACCATGTCCTACGCCTTGCACTCATTTGCTTCACGCCAGTTAAAGCAGTGGAGAGCTGAACTGCCCCCTGAGCTTGTACAGCAGGTGAGGAGGGGCACTGGAGAGGGGCCATCTTCTATCTGATCTGAATATCCTTGGGTCTGCAAAATTCTGTCCTGTCTGTCCTTTGTTCTTGTCCTCACATCCATGCTGGGAGCTCATGAATGATTCTTCCCAGGAAGCCCAAGCTGTACCATGGTCAGTGATAACTTTGTCCCTTAGTCTCAGATATCTAGTCTAGTGCAGGCAGGTTCAAGGACAGGCTATTGTGACCTGACATCAGTTTTTAAAGTATTTGGGTGGTAGGGAGTGTTGGCCACTTGAAGTATGTATCTCTTCCCTATTTCCTCAAAGAAACTTTTTGGGTCCTTGTAAAATTCTTGGCCTTGTGTTGAGATTTTCAGAGTCTCTTTTGGTGTGTGTGGGGGGGTTCACCAGTGTAGGATGGATACTAGGTCTGACCTGAGATTACTGTTCAATAGGGCACCTCTGGCTCCTTGAGATGGAAGTGAAGGAACTATATTGACACAATTTTTTATTTGTTTGGTTTGGTTTGGTTTTGGTGTGTGGGGGGGAATGAAACCCAGGGCCTTGCACATGGTAAGCACAAGCTCTACCACTGAGCTGCATCCTCATTCCTCATACTGACAAGTTTAGGCTAGTGTGTCAGTAAGATGTCACAGTCCAGAAAGGTGTCCCAAGAGAACAGGGTACTAAAGGAGACAGACAAACAACACTGGGCCTCAATTTTGCTGTGATTATCTGTGATCAAAACCTCAAACAAGATGATGACATTGTTATTATTGTCATGGGATTGTAGGAGGACTAAATGAGACTCTTGGCCCACACTGTGTTTGTACTACTGTGATCTCTGAAAGTCCCTCTGTCCTTTAGGGTGAACTTATAACATTGTGCTCAGAGCCCCACTGCCCTCTGAGATCCTATAGAGCAGGACAAAGACTCATAAAGCCCTTGAACTCTTTTTTTGGACTCATAATGGCTCTCACTTCCTAGCATAAAGGAAGTAGCAAGAAGTCTAGCCCTGCTTAAAGAGGTAAGAACACTTTGTTGCCCTTTCTATTTATGAAAGGGACGTGTGTTTAGTGTAAAAGTTCAAATGATGTTGAAAAGCAAGAGGAAGACTATAACAATAAATTTACCCCAAGAGATAGCCACATTTATTGTCTGGGTGATATCCCTAACTACCTGTACAAATACAAGGTTATTTGGTGATGGTCAGCCCTGGGAAAGGGTCATTAAAGTGAATCCACTTAAAGTGGAACTAAATTATTATAGTATACAGTGAATAAAAGATGTGATTGGGACTTTATCATGAGAAAAATAATAGTGAAAAATAATGACTGAATCTTATATTACTAAAATTTTGGTGACTATAGCAAACGTGCTAATTCTTCAAATGAACAAAGATTATTTAAGTTTGTTCCTTAGCTTAATTTTTTCTCAGTTGTATAATTATGTGATATGTTTACTTCACCTTTGCAGCATGAGTTTAAACCAAAGTATTTGAGGACTACCTCCCTTCTCCTAGGACTCTCCAAAATCTTTGTGCCTTTCATGAGTATGTTGTTTTCTTCCTTAGCCAGTTTTCCTTCTTCCCTCAGGCAGTGGCTGACTTTGTTAATTCCTGGTCCTCATGCGTAGAGCCTGTGATCTTAACAGTTAATTTCCCAGCATCACTTTCATCTACTTCATGAAATCCCACATCTTATGCAAGACTTGTGCTTTTATTTTGCAGATTTCTATTATACTATCAGTCTAGATCTGTCATGTATCTGATTAGGATTCCAGCCTCTCAGCACCTTGGCCCCAAAGTTTTTCCCTCCCCTAGTGCCCAGATTTCATGAACCCTACAGATCAGTGAGGATGGTGGCTCCTGTATCTGTCTGGGCATCAGAATTTCTTGGGTGAGTGAGAGGCATTTTAAAAGGTCCCACAAAGGACCCATATTCAGAAGCTGTGCTTTTTAAAATTAAACTAAATTTTTTTTTTTCCCTGAGTAATTTAGATGTAGCATTGTGGAGACAGGCCTGACTGGCACCAGTGGCAGAGGACATAGGTAGAAGGAGTGGCCATGTGGGTTCCTGTTCACTGCTAACAAAGGGTAGATGCCAAGCGCTGCAGCAGGGCCAAGCCCTGGAAGAGAATGGGGTAAGGGGCAGCATGGCCCTTATTTTAAACACCATCTCCTTTAAAAACTTAACTCTGCAGTTATTCAAGAGACACAATGGTAAAGGCAAAATCCCTCTGACTGCTCTCCCCCATCTAGTCCTCTCACCCCTGTCTCAGCAGCTTGTCTTTCCAGACTTAAACAAATACAAAAACCCCCACAACTTTTTGTACATATTTATTTACTTTAGGAAAAAAACACATATAGTCTAAACACTGTCATACTGAGTCTGGTGTTCAGTTTACCTGTTGATCTCTAGCTAGGTTAATTCCTGTGCATCTGTGTATTCCTTTAACTAGTGTAACCTATTTTATTATAGCTGTCCTGCACACAAGCCCCTTGCTGGAGTCTATTTGTGTTGCAATAGCTCCAGAACCCACAGACTGGGGACCTAAGCTCTCACCCTGTGCTACAGAGCCTGACTCCGTACAAGGCCTTCTGTATAACACCAGGAGCATCTTTATCCTCTGCTGGGGCTCAGTGGGTAGGCTGGGTATGGTCCTTTAGATTCTTCCTCTCGTGTCCCAGCAATGATGCCAAATGGGATTTAGCAGAGTAGGTGTTTTCCAGGAAATAAATGTCCTTTCTGCTCTTAGCACCAATTTGTATAGCTTAATTTGTACAGTTGCTCCCAGGCAGAGGCAGGGAAGATAGGGATGAATGATGGATAGGAGACCAAGCTCAATATTCCACACATGTTTTCTGCTTGCCTTATTCTTTCTTCTACTTAGGCTCATAGCCTCTGAAGCTGACCTCAGTGTTGATGGAAGCCATTGACCTGAATAGCTCAGGTTCTGAGATTGGGCCTCCAAGCTATCTCCCTGGAGTGTTTAGGCAGTAGGAGTCTTAACAGAAGGGAGGTTTGTTATAGTTGTTCAAAGGTGCAAACTGCCTCAAAGGGCTGCCATGTACTCTGTGGCTCTTTCTACCTTAGGGGAAGCAGTTTCCAACCCTGAAGTATGTCGCAGGATGCAGTTCCCTAATTGCTAGAGCCATGTCTGGACTTATCATATCTCATTGCAATGAGCTGTAGGACACATGTTGGCCACTATTTGAGCTGCTTGTGTGCTTTAGTTTCTGCCTGAAAACTTGCCAAAGGTGTTTGGGGAAACAAAGGGATTCCCAATGATGTCGATTCTCAGGCAGGAGGAAAAGCCTGGAAGCCAGAGCTTTCTAGCCAAGTGACCTGCAAAGAGTAATGTGAAGTTCCTACTGTGGTTTAGGCTGCAAAGGAGGCTGACTACTTCTTTCCCAGGAAGTATTAGGAGCGTTCAGTGGGGACACCTGCTTCAGCCATCTCCTGAGCCCCTCTCACAGTCACCCTAGACATGAGGTGAATGAGGTGCCAGAGTTGAGAGTGTCCATCCCACTCTGAGGATGGCAAAGCAGCATGAGGATGTCCAGCAGAGCTTCTGAGACACCCCCCACCCCCCACCAAGTGACTGTCCCTCTTCTTCCAGTCTGGGATGTTGTACCTGCTGTACCTACCAAGGACAGGGACTTTGGCAGTGTGACCTGTATGGAAAGGTGTTTGAGATTCAGCCTGTTGCTAAAGATCTATGTGGTACCAGGCACCAGTCCAAATGGAGGCTCATCACAGTCACCCTTCCTTCTTGGCAGGTGGTTGTTAAGGGCCCCAATGGCAAAGCTGAGGTGGGTAGTGGGGCTAGTGAATCGGTCAAGGTCACATAGCTATTAAGCAGTTTCAGTAGAATGATTACATTTAAACAGCTGCCTTTTACTTAAACAAATTTTGTTACAGATTTCATTTTGAAGGGAGTATGATGAAGTCTCTTGGCTTGTGTTATATTTGGCCCTACATTGTGATTTCACCCAGTGATGGTCTCCCAATTCCCAAGTGGCTGTTTGCTTTCCCAAGAATTGTCTGACAGAGAACTGGGGTAGCATGTGGCTCCTTTGTGTCAACACCATTGCTACAAGATTTTCACAAAAGTAATCCTTCACCAAGCAGACAAGAATAGGGCTGGCCTGAGTGAGTCAGGAGTTTAAGGAAATGCTTATGGCTGCAGCAGCTCCCCTTCCTGGGGACCAGTGCCTGTGGACTCTCCCCTCACTCTAGCCCCTGAGGTGAGCTGAGAAGAGGCCATAGCTCCCTGCCATTAAGCCAGGAGCACAGTGAGGAGGGACCAGAGACTCAGGGTACTTGGAGCAGCTGCCTCTATAGCTCCACATGGCAGTCTTCCCTCTATCCCCAGACCAGAAGATCTGGAATGAAGGAATATGTATGTGCCTGACAGCTGCTGGGAACTGGAGAGAAGCAGCTGTCTAAGCTGGAAAGCCTCTTGCAAGTTGACCCTCTTTCCTGGCTGTTTCTGTCTTTCAGATGTCAAAGGGTGACTGGAGGCACTTGTTACAAATGCACACTCTAACTCAGTGGGCTTTAGATGGGGCTCAGGACAAATGCTGTATGTCCTTCTTAAGGCTAGGGAAGAAAGGATAAAAGATTTTATTTTACCCCAGAGGCACACACCCTTTCCGTTGCTGTGGAGTTGAGTGCTGAGTACACACTATCTCCAGTGCTGGCTGAATATCCTCTCTAGCTCTGCTTGCCTACCCTAGTAGGAGGATGAGAGAGCCTGCGATGGAAGCTCATCCCAGAATATCCACTTGGCTACCTGACATTCTCAGACTGATGTGACAGGGTTGCCATGGACCTGGTTTCTTCTTACAGCAATGGACAGAGTCCCCGCCCTGTGCTCTCTTCCATAGGCACAAGTCTTTTTTTTTTTTTTTTTGGTCTATTTCCCCTTTTATTATTTTTTTTTTCATTTTTCTTTTATTATTCATATGTGCATACAAGGCTTGGTTTATTTCTCCCCCCTGCCCCCACCCCCTCCCTTACCACCCACTCCACCCCCTCCCGCTCCCCCTCAATACCCAGCAGAAACTATTTTCCCTTATCTCTAATTTTGTTGTAGAGAGAGTATAAGCAATAATAGGAAGGAACAAGGGGTTTTGCTGGTTGAGATAAGGATAGCTATACAGGGCATTGACTCACATTGATTTCTGTGCGTGGGTGTTACCTTCTAGGTTAATTCTTTTTAATCTAACCTTTTCTCTAGTTCCTGGTCCCCTTTTCCTATTGGCCTCAGTTGCTTTAAGGTATCTGCTTTAGTTTCTCTGCATTAAGGGCAACAAATGCTAGCTAGTTTTTTAGGTGTCTTACCTATCCTCACCCCTCCCTTGTGTGCTAAAGCTTTTATCATGTGCTCATAGTCCAATCCCCTTGTTGTGTTTGCCCTTGATCTAATGTCCACATATGAGGGAGAACATACGATTTTTGGTCTTTTGAGCCAGGCTAACCTCACTCAGAATGATGTTCTCCAATTCCATCCATTTACCAGCGAATGATAACATTTCGTTCTTCTTCATGGCTGCATAAAATTCCATTGTGTATAGATACCACATTTTCTTAATCCATTCGTCAGTGGTGGGGCATCTTGGCTGTTTCCATAACTTGGCTATTGTGAATAGTGCCGCAATAAACATGGATGTGCAGGTGCCTCTGGAGTAACAGTCTTTTGGGTATATCCCCAAGAGTGGTATTGCTGGATCAAATGGTAGATCGATGTCCAGCTTTTTAAGTAGCCTCCAAATTTTTTTCCAGAGTGGTTGTACTAGTCTACATTCCCACCAACAGTGTAAGAGGGTTCCTTTTTCCCTGCATCCTCGCCAACACCTGTTGTTGGATGGCTATTCTAACAGGGGTGAGGTGGAATCTTAGTGTGGTTTTGATTTGCATTTCCTTTATTGCTAGAGATGGTGAGCATTTTTTCATGTGTTTTCTGGCCATTTGAATTTCTTCTTTTGAGAAAGTTCTGTTTAGTTCACCTGCTCATTTCTTTATTGGTTCATTAGTTTTGGGAGAATTTAGTTTTTTAAGTTCCCTGTATATTCTGGTTATCAGTCCTTTGTCTGATGTATAGTTGGCAAATATTTTCTCCCACTCTGTGGGTGTTCTCTTCAGTTTAGAGACCATTTCTTTTGATGAACAGAAGCTTTTTAGTTTTATGAGGTCCCATTTATCTATGCTATCTCTTAGTTGCTGTGCTGCTGGGGTTTCATTGAGAAAGTTCTTACCTATACCTACTAACTCCAGAGTATTTCCTACTCTTTCTTGTATCAACTTAAGAGAGGCACAAGTCTTCACTGCAATCACACAAGTCATAGTTGGGAACCTTAGGAAGGGTTAGTAGGTATTTTATAAACTCATAAACTGTCAGGTGCTGCGGGGGGAAGATGGAAGAAATGACTTGGGAGTTGATGAAAGGTGACCCAAGTCCAGCTGTGTACTTTGTGTGTGCTGTTGAGGAATCCGAGGTCTTTCCACACCTCACTATCACCATCTGTGAAATAGTGACAACAGTTCTGGGTTCCAGGACTATTGAGAGGAATATAAATTTGTGAACAGGTCAGCTTTCGTACAGGAAAAAGTGTGATTCCTGCACAGGTTCAAGCCTTGTGCCTAAGGTTGGACTGTGGTCTCGTTACAGATGGAGGACCGGCGAGATGGCATGCTGGAGACAGCCAGACACTGTTTCACATCGGCAGCCCAATGTGAGGGTGACGGTGATGAGGAGGAGTGGCTCATCCACTATATGCTGGGCAAGGTGGCTGAGAAGCAGCAGCAGCCACCGACTGTCTACTTGCTACACTACAGGCAGGCTGGCCACTACCTACATGAGGAAGCTGCCCGCTACCCCAAGAAGATCCACTACCACAACCCACCCGAGCTGGCTATGGAGGCCCTGGAGGTGACACCATGCTGGCCCAGTGTGGGGAGGCAGGACAAGAGTGGGCTCGTCTTTCTGTGTCCCTGGGGATGGGGCTCACAATCCCAGTGACTCCCCATGCAAACCCCTGGAAAAGCCTCTGTGTTCAGGAGCTTAATGTGCAATTAAGTTAAAAAGCCTTTCCTCTTTTTCTAAGGATGCTTGCCATCCTTTCTGGGAGAGCGAGCTTTGTGTTCTTACTTCTCAGAAGAAAATCATCCTTCCTTATTAGCACACAATTTCTCAAAACCTGGCCTTGACGAGAAAAGTGCAGCTCATATCTCTTGATGCATGGGGCATTTATATCTACAGCCTGGCAGGAGGAGGATGGGAACCCTTATCCCTGGAATGCAGATGAGACATCCAAGGTCTGGTAAGGCTCCAGCCTATGTCTTGGCTACCCACTTGGCAAAGTTGAGTCAGAGTGAGCAGGCTGCTCTTTACCTCAGATTTGGGATTTCTCACTGCTCCTTAAGAAGAGGAGCAATTTTTTATTGTTGGACTTCTTTTATGATTTCTAGAGCATTTCTCATGAATGTTCTCACTGCTACTCATAGCAGTCCTGAGGAGTAGGCCAGCAGCAGACCAGTGCATTTTGTAGGTGAGGAAACCAAGGTTGTGGGTGGAGATCTAGACGTTCTTGTCTGGGCCCAGTGCTAGAAGCTTTCTGTGGCCCTGAATATGTTAGCTTGGCCTCTTCTGAGGCTGTGAGCTCACACCTTCCCATCCTTACCTGCCACAGTCAAACATACCTAGTAAGCTTTTTGAAGTTTAGGCAGAATTTGCTGCTTGCTTATTTTTCTACTTTAATGCATTTTTTCCTGATTATAAAATTAGCATGTATTCATGTATGTGTCCATCAATTCAGAAATATATAAAATGTGAATGTCCCAAGTGATCCTAGCATTCCCCCCATCACACATATAATCTCTACTAATGTTTTGGGTATGTCCTTATATGTTCACATTTTTCCCTGTTAATATGTACATACTTAGTGGTATTTTCTTACACTTTTGCAGCTTGCATTTTCACTGGACAAAATATAGTAGAAGGTGTGGTGATCTTCTCCACCTGTCCTAGTGATCTCTAATTGGGCTGGACATTTGTCTTATCTGTATGGAATCTTCTTAATGGGTCTAGCCTTCTCTCAACTTCTTGCCATGACAGGGCACAGGCAGTACATGTCCTTATATTTGTTACCAGAGAACACTTAATGAGTGTTTCCAGTAGTAGAAGTTGTAGGATCATTTAACATTTTGAACAACAGCATCTGGTTGCCCTGAAAGATTATGTTGATTGATGAGCATGACTATTTTCCCTAGGACCCTCTTTTTAACACTTGCTAACCTTGTAAGCAAATAAAAAAGTCATTTTTAAAAATTTGTCTTTTTAAAATTATTCCTGCCAAGTGGTTTATAGTAGCTATTTTTGGGCCAGGTTTGTGGGGTTCAGCAAGAAGTATGGAAGTACACTTTTTCAACAGCTGTCACAGCTCCAAGTGTCAGGTCCTTCCCCATTACCATTGTTTTATGCCACTCACTTGAAATTGTATGCTTTGGAGGAACTCCACTTTGTGAATGAGAAGGCTGAGGCCTAGGAGAGAAGTATGACCTAGCCCTAAATTATCAGCAGGAGAGGAAGGGGAGCTGAGCCAGATCCCACTGAGCTTTTGTGGGACATGCGGCACCTACGGGCAGCACTGACCCTGCATGTGATGAAAGGTGACCTGACCCTCAGAAAGATGATGCCAACTCTGTTTTCTTCCATGTTTTTTTCTTTGCATTTTGGGCTCTGCTGCTTCCTAGTAGAGCCCATGAGCAGTCAGGATGGTGGCCTCAGATGTATGGACTGCTCATACTCAGCACACAATGCTGGCTTGAAGAAGTGTAGGTGCACAGAGTTCATTTCAAAGGCATTCCGCTCTGCACAACTAATGTAGCCATGTAACTTTGAGTTGGCTGGTACATGTATATATCTTAAAAATGATTATTTATCTGAAGAAGTTACCCTGCCTGGGTATAAATGAAATGCCCTGGTTCCTCTGATGTGGAACCTTCATTCAAAGTACTTTATATGCCACTTGGATGAATTTTGCCCTTTAAAAACCTTGCCCTTCCCCAAGTTTGGCCACCTGGGTGTGCATGGATGGTTTTTGACATACAAAAAGTAAAAGATCTATGTGACTTAAAGAGAAACCAGAGGCTTACTTCTTCTTTCTCTTTCTTTCTTTCTTTCTTTTTTTTTTTTTTTTTGGTACTGGGTAGGCAAGAACTCTGCCACATGAGCTATGCCCCAGCCTAGTTTCCTACATGTAAAAATGAGCCAACTTCTCTGGAGCCTATGGGTCCATGGGTGGGCTAGAAGTGGAGGGCTCTGGATGACTGGGACTCCCTTGAGAGTTCTGCACATGCCTGGATGGGAGGACTTCACTTAGGGGAGAACCATTTCTAGTGTATGGGAAGGCTTTGTCAAGGCTTGAGGTGCTAGCAGTTCTTAGCCCTTGTGGTACCCATCATATCCACCATGGAAATAGATGCTATAGGTGGAAGCTACACCAAACCCACACCTGGGCACAAAGGTCACATCAAGCCACCTGTGGCTTGCTTGGGGGCAGTAGAGGGCAGGAGACAAAACAGACCAGGGTTTGACCTGAACCCGGGCTTTCCCATCTGTGGGACTTTGGGCAACTCATTCCACCCATGCGTAAATTGAAGAATGTTGTGGAAAGCACAGGACCTAGTCTGATTCAGTATTCTGCCTGCTACTTATCCTGTACCCACAGGTAGAGGTTCTTGAAACCTTTGGGCACCTGACTTCCCAGGCACTGAATTGCAAACAGAAATCCCCCCTAATCCTTAACCTCAAGGTATCCAGTGTAGAGACTGATGTAGAGACTCAATTTGTGTGGGTGCCAGGAGAGAGGCACAAAGAGGGCAGCAGCACTGTGGCAGGAGGCAGTGCCCAGTGAATGGAGCTGAGGGGGTTATTAATCTTATTATCTCACCACCATGTGCCTGATTTACTGGATAAATGTTTGCGTTGGGATGCTGAGAGTATCCATTTTAATTTTCAGAGTTCATCTGGAATTAGTTATAGATTGGCTGGCTTAAAAGTTGACAAAAACAGGCAGTGATGACCAGTCACCCAGGCATGAGCCCATTTTCAGTGTGACTGCCTGGCCTGTGGGACAGACCATAGCACACTGGGAAGGCTGCTCACATAAAGATAATTGTTCTAGGTATACTTCCGGCTCCATGCTTCCATCCTAAAGCTCCTGGGGAGACCTGATTCTGGGGTTAGTGCAGAGGTCCTGGTCAACTTTATGAAGGAGGCTGCAGAAGGACCCTTTGCCAGGGGCGAGGAGAAGAATACACCGAAAGCTTCAGAAAAGTGAGTAGCTTGCTTACAGTGGCCCTAGAGTGCTCATTTACTGCTGTGTAGCATTCAGACAGTGACTGCTGAGTAAACGCACCCGGGTTATCTCTAGAACCTATCTGGAAATGCTGATTGCTGGGCCAAAATATTTCTGTTGAATCCGAGAAAGAAAGGGTGAAGGTGCTCTCCCACCTTCAAAGCAAGTCCTGGGGAGAAGCCAGCACCTTTTCTCCTGTTCTCCTGGAGCAGAGCTCTGTCCTATGCAGAGCACTGTAGAAGACCGGTTTTCACTTTGCACTCTTACCCCTGGTCCTTTTCCAGTGCCTTGTGCAGGGATGGGTGACTTCTGAGGTCTGGTGTGCAACCAAGGACATGGGAGGCGTGTGCTCTTCCCAAAGTTCCAGAGAGCCTGGGGAAGCTAGGCCCCTGACATGGTTCCTTCAGTGGCCTGGGGCTGACCCCTGTCCTCCCCTGGTGTGAGTTGTCCCTGTGGTTCAAACATCTTTCACTCTAGTGTCTTTGTCCTGGTGCTCAGTTCAACTTACCCCATCTCTGAGGCTCTCATCTGGCTGGGCACTGTGCAGGACTTTTCTGAGTGTTGGAGATGGGCCCTGACCCTGAGGGCCCATCTGCTCATGGCCACATGACATGTGCCTCTGTTGAACAGTGCACAGCTCTACAGAGGCAGTGCCCCCTCCACCTGTAGGAGAGATGAGTACCCAGATGGTGGGACACTTGGGTAGGTACAGTATTCCAGAAGTTATAGATATGTACCTGTAGTCACAAAGGACCCCAGGGTATAATGAAGTTGTCTATCATTGATCATAGTTCTGTTTAAAGTATTTTTAAATTTTAATTATAGAAATAATATTCTCATTACCGGAAATTCAGACATACATAAATAGATAGACTAAAATGTGACAGATACCCTCTCATTCCCAGAGTTAGCCACTCTGACTAGTGTAATAGTTTCTCAAAATGTTTTCTGTGTATTTGTACACACTTACGTGCACATATACAATTGTAGGGTTTCTTTTATTTTATAAAAATAAACTATTGAAGGTGTTATTCTAGAGTTTGCTTTTTCCCTCAACAGTGGGTCCAAGATGCTGTATGTAGATATGGTACCCTATTTACCACATTCTTTCTGTTCCATACTTATTGTTGCATAGTGCAGATATACCAGATTTTTCTGTAACTGTGGATACAGAAGGTCTCTATTTCCATGGATATAGAAGGCATTTCTGCTTTTTGTGCTCACTCATGTTGCAACATATACTCGTGAACATTTGTGAGCCTGCAGTAATGCAAATCTGTTTCTGTCCCCTCATTCGGGGTACTGATTTGGTATGGATAGGTTCTGGGTTGCTTCTGATGAGAGGCTTGTTACTACCCCCTTAAGAGTCTCCTAAGACTGAGACTCAGAGACTCTTGCAGAGCCTGGCCAGAAAGGTTGGGAAATATCCAGTTAGGGGTGGAGCTATATAAGTGCTATGGGAGCAGCTCCTCCCAGGAGCACCAACCAGATGGGGCAGTGACCACCAAAGGTATGTGGGAGCAACATACCCTGAGAAGGGTGCTGACTCACAGTGGCACATGTCCATTTCACCATGACATGGAGACTGATCTGCACCCCAACCCTCTGTCCTCAACAGGGAGAAGGCCTGCCTGGTGGATGAGGACTCCCACTCTTCAGCTGGGACACTGCCGGGCCCCGGAGCCTCCCTCCCCTCCTCCTCTGGCCCAGGTCTGACATCCCCACCTTACACAGCCACTCCGATTGACCACGATTACGTCAAATGTAAAAAACCCCACCAGCAGGCGACGCCGGACGGTACAGTCCCTGTTCTCCCTACTGCCAGCCCAGGGCGGCACACCAATCATGGGGAGGGTGCTCTAGTGACTTTTTGTCGCTTTGTTTTGGTGAGGGGGGGTGCTGGGTCTGGAGTGACACGGGCAATGTTGCAGCTGTTCATTAACCTCATAGACTCACAGTAATTCTTGTGCTTCCAAGACATGCTCAGGGTCGCCACCTGTCAGCTTGCCCACCTGGGAACTGGGGGAGGGGCAGCCCAATCGAAGGCACCTCACCTCTTTTAGCTTAAATTTTCCTACCTGTAAAATGGAGGTGCTGATATCTCCTTTGAAGGGCATTTGGAAGACCTGTAGGCCACCTAGAAGGGCTTTTGGCACCGTCAGCTTAGTGAGGCCTGCATCATTCAGCAGTGCATTGTTAGGGCTTCATCCCTTGTTGTGGGTAGGCCATGACTAGTGCTACGTCTGTCATTCTTGGGCATCCAGACAGGATATTGATGGGGGTCACGTGGGACTTAACTTACCTTCAAAGCCATCCCATGTGGGATAGGGCAAGTGGCGACTGTTCAACCACATTCCCTACTAACATTAGGAGGCTTGCATGCTGGCCTCTAGCTTGATTTTTTTCATGTTCTCATCTTTACAGTGACAAGCTGGTGACAAAGTGCTTGCTGAGATAAGCAAATTGATGAATTTAGAGTGCCATTAAAGTGGAGCCCTAGGGAGGTAGTGACAATGCTGAAAGATACTGGGCCCTCATTCCCATGTTGCTCATTTCATCTGGACAGTGGGGAAGCAGACCTTATTCAGTGCTTTACCCAAGGTGATGAGACACTCCTAGGTGGGTAGGATTGGCCCTGGGGCTGTGTCTCTTGCCCGGTGTCCTTTGTAGAGTGGCTTCCTAGAGGAAGAATTGGCCCCTTGGGCACTATGGTAGCCCTGAAGTTGAGGTCCAGCACAGAGGCAACCAGATGCTGTTGAAAGGGTATTGGAAGGCTACACTGCTTTGGCTCTAGCACCCTGCAGAGACCAGACCAGTATACAAGTTCCTGGAGAACACAGACATCTGCCCCCAGCTTGCTGAGCTGAGAGCAGATTCAGAGAGGCAACGTTGAAAGATAGCAACACTGCCAGGACTTAGCTTCTCTGAGGGCAGAATTTGGTGATCTGAGAGAACAGGACACTCGCTGTTGTCACCTCCTGGGTTTGGGTTTGGTCTACAACGTGTGTTGAGACAGAGGCTGAGGATCTGTGTGTGCTGTGTGTCTCCATCACCTCACTTTGGGATTGTATCCTTACCCTAGTCCTGGTGTTGATACCTTCCTGCCCACCACAGAACACTGAACAGAGCTGGGAGGATCTGAGTGCCTGCCTACTGCTCCAGTCTTCAGTTCTGTAGATATTTCCTAAGTAAGATCTTCTCCCTGTTCTAAGTAACTCACATTAATTGAGGGAATCACCCTGGTCTAATCTTCTACTCTTGAGAATACTGAGAAAACACATTATCAGTAAATCCTTGCTCTGGGAGTTAGTTTCTGAGGATTTACATCATGCCAAAGTTTTCAGGAGCGAGGACTACCTTTCACCTGTATCTCATGCTGTGTGGTCCTGCTCACGTGCTTCTGGACTGGAGAGCATCAGTACTAGCCCTATAGCCTCCCAACTAGCTCAGCTTATAGGCACCCCAGGCTTAATTGTCAACTCATAGGGCTGGGTATGTCTCCAGAAGCAAGGAAGAAGGGAGGCAAGAGTGCCTCAGGAGGGGATATTGCTGTCCCATGTAGGCACATGCATAGTCATAGAGCTGTGGGTGAACCACTGTAGAGTACAGGGGATAGGAACTGGGTTTGTCAGGTTTGGGTGCCGACATAACAACTATTTGTTTTGAAGGTTTTCAAGCAATAAGTTCAAATATACTTTCAGTGGTTTCAAAGTGACTACTGTTAGTGGTGTGGAGTGATCGGTACCCCATGGCCCAGCTTGGCCCAGTCCCAGCCCCAGTGTGTAGGGATGCATAGTGTTTTCAAAACTCAGTCTCTTCACTCTCCGCACCCCTGAGAGAAACAGCGTCTGCAATAGGAAAGTGTCTGGGGCCTAAAATAGCCATGGTCTTCACATGCTATAGTGGCCCTTTCAACGTTTCTCTGGTTCCTAAGGGCAAGATCCAGATTCTAGGCAAAAGCAGCAGATTGCTCTATCAGGGGATTTGCTGGTAGCCTCAAGAGGTCAAGCTGCCTACCATTACTCCTGCTACCTGAACTGACCATGGGAAGGGAATTATGGCTCATGCTTTCCACTCAGCTTGCTTCTTATTCTGAGACCAGCCACAGGTCTCCTGTAGGAGGACAGGACACTAGCACTCACTGCAGGTCACATAACCTTCCCACTGCAAGGAGAGTGATGGTTTCTACTGGAATCAGAGAGCCACTTAAGGTCAGGTGGGGGTGTGGGCAAAGGCAGAGAAGGCCCTGAAGTCAGAGACATCTGAGTTCCAATTATAATTCTACTGCTTACATGCTTAATATCCTTGGACAGGGCCTTAACTGCTGAGACTGTTTCCTCACCTGTAGAATGGAGTATTGTTTGCTTTTTATTATGCAAGTGCTTACATATCACAGCCTTCTCCTAGATGTGTTTCTTCAGAAGCTGAGACAAGAACAAGGAAGTATCACACAGAGGGAAAGGCCCAGGCCCAGAGGTCTCTCACCCTTGGTTTGCACCCCAACTTTCTAGCCAATGTTATAGCCTCAAAAGATGGACAGGCAGTGCCAAATGAAGCAGTAGTCTTGGGTGGGCCTGTCATTGGGCCCAGTCTTTCACCTCAAGGAGGCTTTCTGAGAGTAATTAATTTGCCACCAGTGGGAGATGGAGCCAAGCATCAGAAATTACCTTGAGTGTTAGACTCAGCATTAGGGCCACCTTCCCTCTTTATTGTGCCTTTCTGTCAAAAGTAGAAATCAGCTGGAGTCAATTTTGATTTGGCTTAATATTTAGAAAAATAGTTCCTGGTAGATGTCCAAATAGACATTTGATAATAGCTATTTTGTAGGGACCCAGGTTCTTTTTCTAAACTGCCCTCACCTGAAACCTTGTACGACCTGCACTATGGTTGGATACTTTCTGTAGCCAGAGACAGAGAGAGACAGAGAGAAAAGAGGGGAGGGGAGAAGAAGGGAGGGAAGGGAAGGGGAAGGAAGGAAAGAAAGAAGGAAAGAAACTGACTGGCTATCCACCTTACCTGGCTATCCTACCCACCCAACTAACTTCATCCTTCCACTGATCTTTTCAAATTGGCCTACAGTGCTGAAATACTTCATATTGAAGCTTCCTGGCTGGAAAGAAAAAGTGACACGAGGAGCACACTATGATCTTCAAGGGGCTCCCAACTGATTGGTATTTACACGTGTCAAATACAGCAGGAGGAGATGTGTGAATGAAATCTCTAGCCCTCCCCCACTTGCAGTATTGATCTGCAGGTGTGTGAGCACATGTATATATATGTGACTAATCTTCCCCCTACATGCACAAATACACATACAGTACTGTGTGCTTGCTCGGTGGTAGCAAGTCTACTTCATAACACCCTGCAGACTTGGCCATATTCTTGTTTTCCTGAAATGAAGCCAAACTGAGGGTAGGTAGGCACTCATCCAGAGCTTCCCCACTTGTTAGAGAAGAGCTAATGGAGGGCAAGGTCTAAGTTGCCTTCTATCCAGGCCAGGTATGAGACTAATGCTAGGAAGGCCCTGTGGCCAGCTGATCTGACAGATTGTATCTGTGTGTGCTTCCCTCTGTATTGGAGGTGTCTCAGTGGAGAGCCTGTGAGATATGTCTGTAGAAGCTCTATTGGACTAAGACCTTCACTGTCTGCCTGTTGTGCTTCTTGTCACCTCAGAATACCATAGCTAAGAAGGGCCTCAGATACAAGAGGCCTTGCCCTGTGGTCAGTCTGGGGCTAGGCCTTCTTTAGGGTTCTTTAGCCAGTGTATAGCCACATCCATCCAGATGTTCTATCAGCATTGTGCCAGGTGCACAAAACAGCCCTCGCCCCTGCTGCAAGCTTAGAGGAAGCAGGTATGAGTCAGTCTGTTACACAGCTGAGGATTGGGGTAAACCAAATCCAGCACCAAAGAGGTAAGTTTGCCTATCACAGAGGAACTTGACCTGGCTAAGTTCTTGGGGTCTTTCTGAGGAGACAAGGCTTAGCCATGATCTGAGAGATATGTCAGTTTACTGTGAAGAGGTAGTGGAGAAAGGGGACAAGAATGGGAACCTCAGGAGGTGGCATCCGTGGTTGCAGGTGATGCTTACCCAACCCCTTTGATAGTATGAACAGAGCTGCCAAGGAACCTCTAAGGCTGACCCAGGTTGTAGGATTTGATTCTGCCTCAAGAGCCTAAGGTGCCCTATGCCAATCCGTCTTCACAACTGTCATCCTCACCCACCATGCCGTCACTGTTTGTCATGTGCCATATGTGCTCATCTTCTCCTGTTCGCCCCACACTGCCTCCACCAATATTGCCCGTGCTGCCCCTAACCCTGACCACACTCTGTTCTCCAGGCTTTGTCTTTCTGCTTGCACCTGTCTCGGCTCGCTTCAGGGAACAGCGCAGACCGCATGCTCAGCCCTCAGTCCGGCTCCCTGCTTCCCCTGTGACCGGGAACACCTTCATATCTGCTGGTCCTGTGATTTGGAAAGCGTGTGTTTGATGTGCTTGGCTTCTGCCACTGGCCCATCTTCCCAGTTCTGGCCGGATGCAGAGGCTGTGGTGTCTTCTCTACTACTCACTCGTTCACCTGCCTGGCAGGTGGCTCAGTTCTGTATTTCCATTGCTTTGCTCTTTCTTGCTTTAAAAACAAACAAACAAAGAAACAAAGGCAACAGATTCTAAAGATACCAAATTCTCTTTACAAAAACAAGGGTGTAAAAATGCAGATTGTGCACAGTAGCCCTCCTCTGTGAGGGGAGTCATGTGTTTGTACTCCACAATGACTGGGCTGTGGAGGGTCAGAGACTGC